TCGACACTTGAAATAATCTTGAGGGAGATAAGAGGCGTGGAGAGCTGGAACATCGAAGAAGAAAATCATTGTCAAATTTTTTATTATTATTTTTTTTATCGTTATTTTACATCGCTTCGACCCGGTTAGGGTATACTGCGATGATGATCGAGACTTTAAATGGTTAGATCGCACCGTTCTACCCGGCCGGGATTTGAACTCGGAACCTTCGCATGTGAGGCAACGAACTTACCCACTGCGCCAAGCCACCGGGCGTCAAGTTTTTTATGAAAACATTCGGCAGAATTAAACGAGGCGATTTTTCAAACTTCGTTATACTTCGTAATTTTGATTAAGAGAAAGGAATAGTATATTTCAGTACGTGTGGGGCAATTTCGTCTTTAACGTGTGTGGGGTTTACAGCATGAGCCGAAGGCGAGTGATGTAACCACACACGTTAAGGACGAAATTTCCCCACAAGTACTGAACAAAATTTTATGTCACGAAGCCTGAAACCGGCTGGATTACACACTCGACGCTTCGCGTCTCGTGTCAATTTCTTGTTTTTTCTTAGTTTTTATGGCCTAAAGGAGGTTAGGCGGTGTTTGAGGTGAATTTGAGAGTGAATTTCTGTGGTTCCCGGTAGCTTAGTCGGTAAGAGTGCCCGGCGCGTATCTGGGAGACCCGGGTTCGANAATTATAACTTTCTTTTTTTTGCGAATTCTTAATGATTTTTAAAAATTGTATTTTGTAATTATTATAATTAATTTTTTCAATTAAAAATACTTTACAAGTTTTTTGAACTACATATTTAATGAATATAATTAATTTTTTCTTCAGAAGTTCCGCATAATTTTTAAATCACACTTTTTTATAATTATTTTTTAAAATAAATGTGATCTTTTTTCTTTAGTGGGGGGGGGCCCCACCGGGGGCCTCGCCCCCTGGACCCCCTTTTCTCGTGGGGGGCTTCGCCCCCCACACCCCCCCTCCGCCCCCAGACTTCATCACGCACTTATCATATAAAATAGTATACGCAACACGTGCGGACAGCAGGCGGTCTCACTCGGGCGGCTGCGCCGCCCTCGTGAGTAACCGCCTGCTTTCCGCATTAGTTGCGTAATGTACTATTTTGGTGGAACTTATGACATTTTGACCTGAAAGTACTTGCTTTCAAAGTAAATGGACAATTTACATGAATTTCAAAACAGAGCGACCCAATTTTATCACACCCTGTTAGATATTGAATTATTTCGAATCAATCTTCAATTTCGATTTTTTTTTCTGTGGAAGACGTAACTCTACGAAAAGGGCCTGTGGGCATTTTTCCTGAGAATCTCTTGTTTTTAAGATAAATATTGATTGTTCTCATTCGTTCCTCAATCCTCGAAAAAATCTAGTCGGAGACAAGAGGCACGGAGAGCTGAGGCATTATAAGAAGGAGAAAATCATCTTAAAGTGTTTTTTACGGAAAAAAAGGCAGATTGATGAATATAGGACAAGATTGAACGAGTTGATTTGTCAAACTTCATTTTACTTCGTAAATTTGAGAGAAATAAAGGCATTTTCTGGCGGAATTTTTTTTTTCACTTACAAAGAAGGCATTTTGTTCTGCAATCACTTGCTTTCAAAGCAAATGGACAATCAACACGAATTTCAAAACACAACAATTTAATTTTCCACATCCTGTTGGATATTCTGCAGAACAAGTTTACGTTCCACATCCTATTAAATATTGGATCGCCTCGGTAATTCTGAAGGGAAAGTGCGGCGAGAAATTTGTTATAGGAAATTCAATTCTCTAAAAAAAGTTTCTTGAAATTTTCTCCTGAAACCACTAGTTTTCAAGCTCACACTCACAATCCCCAGATGTCGATTGATCAATTATGACGAAAAAAAATAACGCGTTTCCAAAGTAAAACGTGAGTTCGACTCACGAAAACTTTTCTTTTTGTCAAATATTGAATGATGTTTTCAACGAGTGATTTTCTAGAAGAAAATATCATACGACATCTCTTGCTGCAAATTGTCTCAGCTACAAAAAATTATCCCAAATTAATAAAGCTTCCGAAACGAAATAAGTCGATTTTTTAATACTCAATCACCTCGATGAGGAGTAATTGCACCAGGAAAAACTCTTTCGCAGCTGACAAAATTCCCAATCCAAATTCTCCTGACATCCTCTCCTAAAATTTCTCATTTTCTGAAGAAATTAATATTTCACAAAAAAAATCAAAGAATAGCAAGTCTTATTCCATCTTGTTAAATACCGAATCATTTCCACGAGTAATTCTAGAAGAAAATGTCATATCACAATGTCCATTGCAAATTTCCTCAGCCACAAAAAACCTACGACTGCCCCCCAAAGCCCCTCGCATTGGACACAATTTCGGAATCAACATAAACGTTTATTCTACTTAGTGGTGCGCCATTTACTACCGAATACTCTGGATAATTTCATTTTTTCATTAAAAATCCCCGCCTCGTCAACAAAAACACGAGGAGTAATTGCCCAAGGAAAAACTCTCTCGCAGCTGCCAAAATTTCCAATCCAAATTCTCCTGAAATTTTCGCTTAAAATCTCTCATTTTCTGAAGAAATGAATATTTCACCAAAAAAAATCAAAGAATAGCAGTCTATTATTCCATCTTGTCAGATACCGAATCATCTCCGCGAGTAATTCTAGAATAAAATGTCATGTTAAATGACTTCCCCCCAAATCCCCTCGCCTTTGACACAATTAATATAAACAAACGTTTATGTTAATTCTGAAATTGTACTTGTTGATACGCCATTTACCACCGAATACTCTGGATAATTTCATTTTTTCATTAAAAATCTCCGTCTCATCAACAAAAACACGAGGAGTAATTGCCCAAGGAAAAACTTTCTCGCAGCTGCCAAAATTTCCAATCCAAATTCTCCTGAAATTTTCGCTTAAAATCTCTCATTTTCTGAAGAAATGAATATTTCACAAAAAAAATCAAAGAATAGCAGTCTATTATTCCATCTTGTTGGATACCGAATCATCTCCGCGAGTAATTCTAGAAGAAAATGTCATGTCAAATGACTTCCCCCCAAATCTCCTCGCCTTTGACATAATTTCAGAATTAACATAAACGTTTATTCTACTTGTTGGTGCACCATTTACCACCGAATACTCCAGATAATTTAATTTTTTCATTAAAAATCCCCGTCTCATCAACAAAAACACGAGTAATTCCAATCCAAATTCTCCTAAAATTTTCGTCTACAATCTCTCTGTGAAGAATATTTGTAATGAATATTTCACAAAAAAAATCAAAGAATAGCAGTCTATTATTCCATCTTGTTGGATACCGAATCATCTCCATGTGTAATTCTAGAAGAAAATATCAATTTCAGAATTAACATAAATTAAATAAATTCTGGAAGAAAATATCAATTTCAGAATTAACATAAACGTCTATTCTACTTGTTGGTGCGCCATTTACCACCGAATACTCCAGATAATTTAATTTTTTCATTAAAAATCCCCGTCTCATCAACAAAAACATGAGCACTCGAGTTAATGGGAGTAATATTTCAACGTGCGACCCACAAGCGCACGCAGAATCACCTATTGCCTACTACCCAGAGAGCAACGTGTTGTGAGGAGGTCAACGTCGGTTGTTGCCCTGACCGCCTCTGTTTTCTTTGGCTCCGTCACATTGGCCTCGTAGATGTCTATCTATTCTTCGCGTTGCCACTAAATCAACCATATATATCCCTCGATTGTACCTTCACTGGGAATTATTCGAGTCAGCAATCTAATCAAATCCGGATCTGGGAGACCTGAAAATGCTTTTTCATGTTGAGGAAAAAATAATTCCATGTAGGGTAATCAGACCAATGGACCAATAGACAGTTAAGGAGAATTTGAGGTCCGTCACGAGATCAAAAATTGCTATTGTATTGTATATAGTATAGTTATTTTTGCTAATAAATTAGGAATATGCACATCATTCCCTTCTGTCATGTATAATTCATTATTTATTTCATTTCATTAAGGCCCGGGTGGATTATCTTTTGAACACGATCTTGGTTGTTTTTTTTATTTTGATAATCTGAAATGATCTCCAATTATTATTCAGTTTTACATAGCCCCGGAGTCTCCAAAAATTATGATTGTACAACCAAAAAAACGTTGAAAAGAAGCTGAACGTTGTCAAAGAGCGTTTTTAAATAATATTGGGAAATAAACCCAATAAGGAGGAAATTGCAAATTAATAATATTAATTTCTCTTAATTATTTCTCTTAAGGCCTGGGTGTACTATATTTCGAATGTTATCTGGATTTTTTTATCTTTCGTAATCCAAAATTGTCAATTGAGTGGTACATCATGTAGAAATTCCCAAAAATTATGATAGAATGATGAAAAAAAATGGAAAAAATTCTGAACTTTTTCAAAGAGCGTTTTTAATTGAGATTCAGAATGAGTTGAAAAAAGTGGAAATTCCAAATATCTGATTCGCTGTGGCAAATTATCTATTAGCTGTCATTTTCCATAGTGGATAACAAAACACTAACTCCTCATTTTTCTCTTAAATTTTTTCGTGCGTGATCTCAGTAACGAAGTGGTAAAATGTTCAAGTCGATTTTGACTGTTTGCCAGTTTTCAATGAATATCTAAGATTCTAAGGGAGATAGCAAAATTCTTGACTAGACCTTTTCTACAGCACTCAATTCACTCTACAAAAAAGGTCATTATAAAAATTTCGTTATCTGTCTTAGATTCGGAGATATGCCTCAAAAACTCAGATGAGTGCTAAGTCGACTTGAACCGTTTTACCACTGCGCTACTGATCTAATTTCGCAATTTATCTCTCTGTCTATCAAATATAATATTTCGTTTTCTTACATATTATACATTAGTTTTATTACCAAAAATGGAAGTTTGGAACACAATTTCGTCGTTGTCTACGTCTGGTTACCCTAGTCAGTTTTATACTATTGTACTATATGTATTATTGTCTTATTCCCTTGTCTTATTTCTCGACAGTTCGCCAATAGTAATGGATGAGAAGGATGACTCGGCGACATTCTTGAGCATGATGTTGCTGAACTAGGCTGATCAGAACAGAACAGAACGTCTTTTGTGCGAAAATCTATGACATGGAATTGATAATCCGTTACTTAGAGCCTTGTCATCTGCGAGCGTATTCGTACAGAGGAGAGGGCAACGCCAATCTTGTCATATCCCTGCCATTGGTGAGTTCTCCACAGTTTTGTTGAACTAATCCTTTTTGGTAGTCGATGCATGCAGGAAAAAATTCTATGGAAAAAACTTGCGAATGCGGTGGAAAATTCTGTTTCATTTCTGTTAAACTTGTATTGAAAATTAAACTTCCATTAGGTTTTAGGTGATTCTATTGAGAAATTTCACAGCTTATCTGCAGTATTATTTCAATAAAATATTGGCAATGAAACATATTGTGTAGAGAAAATGCATGGAATGGAATTTTCTTTTAATGAACGGAGAAGAAAAGTAGAGTAAATAATGCATTCCGATGGATAATGGCTCGATAGAAAAAATTGTATTAAAATACGGAATTCTACGGTTTTTTTCTGCTGATATATTCCATTTCTACTTTTTACTGATATCGCATTTATTTTGAAAATAATTCATTTTCAATGCAAATTTTGTAAAGCGTTATTCGAGCTCGAAATAATTCCCTACGAAAGTATATTCTACGCCTGGCTATTCGCACTAGGGTAAACCGCCCAGTAGATGGACGCCTAAGAAAACCGCCCAGTAGATGGACGTTTGTTTTTTAGCAAATGAAAAAAACAATTGATCGAAAAAAAATCGTCACTCAGGGGTTAAGAATCACGACAGTTGGTGAAAATTCAAAGCAACAATTCACATTTCAGTGTTTTTTTGCGTAATTTCCTATCAAAAAGTAGCTCGTCCATCTATAGGGCAGTGTCCATCTACTGGGTAGCTTACCCTACCATACGCAGCGTGTCACACGCGGCGTGTGAGACGCAGATTCATATATGGGTCGGCCAGCACTACCACGCAGCGTGTCGCACGCAGAAATTCATATAAGGCTCGAGTGCAGGAGCGGGTATCGAAATATAGTGCAGATGATTCTAAGGATAATTTTCCAAGCAGGGGAGACTCCTAGACCCCAATGGACAATGTTGTCACAACTCTGCTTTTCAATTGAAAACAGACATCATCTTTAGAGACATTTGTCATGTTTGGAGGTCCTAGCACGCCATTTCTAGACCCGTGCTTTCATTTGAGCCCAAAAAAACATTCACATCTTGTCTGACATCTCTGATACAAACTCTGGTCTTCAACTCTGGTTTCAATTGAAAACCATTGGGCCGATTAGCCAATCAGAGGGCAGAAAGGGCCGGAATATAAAAAAAAAAATTGAAAACCATTATTTCGGGAATAGCTGAATTCAAGGGAAAAAGTCAAAAAGGTTCTCTTTTCTCTAATGAAATTTGTACCGACAATGTCTTTTGACAGTTCCTCCTAAATTAACTGAATCGCAAGGTTATTTATTATTCAAGAAAACGTGAAAAGTGAAAACGTTCGGTTTCAAAGTTTGTGTTGTGTTGATTTCTATTAATTTAAAAACAAATTATTTTAGGGGAAAATCAGTTTAGACCTCTTTCGTGCTTGAGAAAATTCCATACAAAAGTATACTTTAAAATTATCCATTCAAAGCACTCATTATGAAGATAATTTAATTTTCAACAAAATGCAGAAATCAACTTATCCTGCTTTGATACTCATTTCAATTGCTCATTTATTTCGGGAATAGCTGAATTCAAGGGAAAAAGTCAAAAAGGTTCTCTTTTCTCTAATGAAATTTGTACCGACAATGTCTTTTGACAGTTCCTCCTAAATTAACTGAATCGCAAGGTTATTTATTATTCAAGAAAACGTGAAAAGTGAAAACGTTCGGTTTCAAAGTTTGTGTTGTGCTGATTTCGCATTAATTTAAAAACAAATTATTTTAGGGGAAAATCAGTTTAGACCTCTTTTATGCTTGAGAAAATTCCATACAAAAGTATACTTTAAAATTATCCATTCAAAGCACTCATTATGAAGATAATTTAATTTTCAACAAAATGCAGAAATCAACTTATCCTGCTTTGATACTCATTTCAATTGCTCATTTATTTCGAGAATAGCTGAATTCAGGGGAAAAAGTCAAAAAGGTTCTCTTTTCTCTAATGAAATTTGTACCGAAAATGTCTTTCGACAGTTCCTCCTAAATTAACTGAATCGCAAGGTTATTTATTATTCAAGAAAACGTGAAAAGTGAAAACGTTCGGTTTCAAAGTTTGTGTTGTGTTGATTTCTATTAATTTAAAAACAAATTATTTTAGGGGAAAATCAGTTTAGAACTCTTTCGTGCTTGAGAAAATTCCATACAAAAGTATACTTTAAAATTATCCATTCAAAGCACTCATTATGAAGATAATTTAATTTTCAACAAAATGCAGAAATCAACTTATCCTGCTTTGATACTCATTTCAATTGCTCATTTATTTCGAGAATAGCTGAATTCAGGGGAAAAAGTCAAAAAGGTTCTCTTTTCTCTAATGAAATTTGTACCGAAAATGTCTTTCGACAGTTCCTCCTAAATTAACTGAATCGCAAGGTTATTTATTATTCAAGAAAACGTGAAAAGTGAAAACGTTCGGTTTCAAAGTTTGTGTTGTGCTGATTTCGCATTAATTTAAAAACAAATTATTTTAGGGGAAAATCAGTTTAGACCTCTTTTATGCTTGAGAAAATTCCATACAAAAGTATACTTTAAAATTATCCATTCAAAGCACTCATTATGAAGATAATTTAATTTTCAACAAAATGCAGAAATCAACTTATCCTGCTTTGATACTCATTTCAATTGCTCATTTATTTCGGGAATAGCTGAATTCAAGGGAAAAAGTCAAAAAGGTTCTCTTTTCTCTAATGAAATTTCTACCGAAAATGTCTTTCGGCACTTCCTCCTAAATTAGCTGAATCGCAAGGTTATTTATTATTCAAAAAAACGTGAAAAGTGAAAACGTTCGGTTTCAAAGTTTGTGTTATGTTGATTTCTATTAATTTAAAAACAAATTATTTTAAGGCAAAATCTGTTAAGACTTCTTTTCTACTCAAAATTATTGAATGCTCAAGAAAATGTGAAAAATCAACTCTGTTTCAAAATTTCTGTTGCATTGACATCTCATTTATTTTAAAATCAGATAATTTTGAGGGATTGAAAACAAATCTTCTTAAATTCTTTTTAGATTGTAAAATATATCCCTTTAAATAATGGCTCCCGAAATTATTCAATGTTCAAGAAAATGTGAAAAATGAACTCTGTTTAAAAATTTCTGTTGCATTGACATCTCATTTATTTAAAAATCAGATAATTTTGAGGGATTCGAGAACAAATCTTATTAAATTCTTTTTAGATTGTAAAATAAATCCCTTCAAATGAAAATCAACTCTGTTTCAAAATTTCTGTTGTATTGACATCTCATTTATTTCAAAATCAGATAATTTTGAGGGATTGAAAACAGATCTTCTTAAATTCTTTTTAGATTGTAAAATATATCCCTTTAAATAATGTCTCCCAAAATTATTCAATGTTCAAGAAAATGTGAAAAATGAACTCTGTTTCAAAATTTCTGTTGCATTGACATCTCATTTATTTCAAAATCCGATAATTTTGAGGGATTTGAAAACAAATCTTATTCAATTCTTTTTAGATTGTAAAATATATCCCTTTAAATGTCTCCCAAAATTATTCACTGTCCAAGAAAATGTGGAAAATCATCTCTGTTTCGAAATTTCTGTTGTGCTGGCATCGCATTTATTGAAACTACAAATAATTTTGAGGGAAAATCCCGCAAGACCTCTTTTGTATTCCAAAAAATTCCCAAAAAAAACATGTTTTGACATTTCTTTCAAAACTCACCACCAAAATAGCCCCTATTTATCAATATACGTGTAAAAGCTACTTGTGACTTTTTCCCACTTCACCGTCGACTTGCGAAGACCTCGAGTCGCTCGAAAAGGTCATTGACTCGAAGTTATTATTGCCTTATATACATAGCCCTCGTGCTTATATTTTCAATATTATATGGTGCATCGAGTTATAAGTTATATTTACGTGCGATCGTGCTGAAGTCCACGTCCCCATGATTTTTCGAACTTCCATCGGTTCTTCATCAGTCTAATTTCGGAATCAAAGAACGCTTCAATATCCTACAGAATATCCAATAGAATCAGTGCAAAAAACAAATGGATTTTTTTTTAAGGCCCGGGGGTACAATCTTTCGAACGTTATCTCGATGTTTCTTTTCATCTTTCGTCATGTGAAATTGTCAATTAAGTCCTGCATCATGCAGAAGTTTTGAAAAATTATGAATGAATAATCAAAAAAAAGTAGAAAAAATTCTTATTTTTTTCAAAGAGCATTTTTAATTTATATTCAGAATAAGTTGAATAATAAGAAATTGAAAAATGTATCTGATTTACGGTGACAAATGGCAGCCTGTCACTCAATATCATGCAGGGGGAAGACTGATTTCGTAAATCTTTTCCCACACTGCACAGAGACATTTATTACGGTAAAGGCTCTTTGAAAAAAGTTGTAATATTTTGGAGAATTTTTTAATCACACTTTTATCACATAAAAATGGCAGATGACTACATACCACTATTTTGAGAATTGAGATACCTAGCTGTCACCTCCCATGAGGAATTAGTGTTTTGTTATCCACCATAGAAAATGACAGCTAATAGATAATTTGCCACAGCGAATCAGATATTTGCAATTTCCACTTTTTTCAACTCATTCTGAATCTCAATTAAAAACGCTCTTTAAAAAGTTCAGAATTTTTTCTATTTTTTTTATCATTCTATCATAATTTTTGGGAATATCTACGTGATGTACCACTCAATTTACAATTTTGGATTACGAAAGATGAAAAAAATCCAGATAACATTCGAAAGATAGTACACCCGGGCCTTAAAGACTATCTATTTTTGCAATAAAATTTTTAATCTCGGCGCAGGCTCCACATGTTTGGCCGTAAAAATCCTCTTCTGATCATTTTTAATAAACAATTGTCTTGGCATTAGTAAGACTTGTTTGAGAACTCCACTGTTTTTCTCTCAGTGTTGAATAAAACATGGAATTAAGCTCATTGAATTTTCCCCCCGGCTGACCCGAAATACATGACTTCAATTGTTGGGTCTGCCTACTGTAATGATAGACGCCAGAGAAGGCGGTGAAAGGAATTGACATTTACCATATTCACAACTTTTTTTTTTCTCTAACATCGCGATGAATATGAGAAGTAAAATTTTCTCGCATTGCAGGCAAGGAGCATCCTACGCTTTCGCAAAATCGAGCTGACGGAGGAGGCGCCGATCGATGGAGTAGAGACGAGGGTATTATTCGAATGGAGGTTCTTCATGAAGTTCGTTTCGAAATTTATGGGAAGGTTCGTTACTCCCCCCGAGGTGATACAGTGCCATCCAAGGGATTTTGCAGATTGGGATGAGAGAGTTGAAATTCTGCGTCCAGGTAAACAAATCGTTGCTTTACGTCTTCAGAAGAGGTTTCAGTGCTTTAACGATCTTTAAATAATATTTTTCGATATTTCGAGTTGAACATCAGGGTTTTTTCAAACTTCATCTAACCTGCAGTTACTCAACATTTTACAATTATTTTATCATTCACACTTCTAATGAAGTTGGAAAGTCTACTTATTCAAGAAGATAAAATCAATGAAAGATTGTAATTTTCAATAATTTACTTTAAAAAAGATTTATCAGGCTAAAGATCATGTTTTCGAAATCCTAACAAATTTGTTGACATTCAGATTTTGAGTAGTACTAGATTTCATGGAAAAATTGAATAAATTTTCATTATTTATTTATGCGACAGAGAATAATTTATTGCAAACGGTAATTTATCCTAATGGCATTTTGACAATTTTGTTCTCAACATTTTTTCTTATTTGAAATTAGATTTCATAGCAAACTCAAGCTCCATTTAATCCTGGGTTACTAAACATTTTACAATCATTTTATCATTCACACTTCTAATGAAGTTGGAAAGTCTACTTATTCAAGAAGATGAAATCATTGAAAGATTTTAATTTTCAATAATTTACTTTAAAAAAGATTTATCAGCCTAAAAATCATTTTTTCGAAATCCTTCATTATTTATTTATGCGACAGAAAGAATAATTTATTGCAAACGGTAATTTATTCTAATGGCATTTTGACAATTTTGTTCTCAACATTTTTTCTTATTTGAAATTAGACATTAGAGTCAACTCAAGCTCTATTTAACTCTATGTTACTATACATGTTACAATTATTTTATCATTCGAAATTCTAACAAAATTATAAAGTTTGCTTATTAAAGGAAATTGAATCACTAAAAAATTGTAATTTATTGAAAATTACGACCCATTTCTTCAATAATTTAAAAAATAGGGTTTTCAGACTAAAAATCATGTTTTCGAAATCCTAAAAAATGTTTTGACATTCACAATTTCACCAGAAATTTGATATCATAGAAAACATTGTCATACCAAATTTCTCTTATTTACTCAGAAGGGGGGATTCATAAACAATTAATTTTCCACACTAAAAATCATTCTTTTTAAATAATATTTCATCCCAAAACCATTAAGTTTCCGAAAGTTAGACCAATCTTCATTATTTATTCATAATAAAACTTTCAAACCGGAAGTGAATCCTTAAAAAATATAATTTGACCGTCGCAATTATCCCCCAAATTAAAAAAATTATTCAAAGTTCAAATATTGAAAATATAGAAATATTTTCATCAGTCAAAAAAAATGAAAATTTCTCTCCAGATTGACAAAAAAAAAGTAAATTTATATTACAAATCTCGAATTATTTCCACATCATGCGCATCGAGTCTTAAAAATACGATTGAACTTACAGTTCACCGAAAGCATAAAAATTCATACAACGAATTCGCCATAAAGCTACCAGACTACGCCAAACTTAGTGACCACCTTGACGTAGACGCAAGGAAGCCAACATTCTGCATTGAGATCAAGCCGAAACAAGGCTTCATGCCAGAATCAGAAAGACAGACAGAGCGTTGCCCATACTGCATCAAACAATTCCACAAGGTAAAAAAAAAATGCCATTAACAACGATAATTACTAAGTAATCCTCGAATGCATGTCTTTAATTGCTCGCAGATATCCAAGCGAGCTGTGAATAAACGAAGCAGGTATTGTCCTTGCGATCTCTTCTCAGGGGATAAAACTCGAGTGCACCACGCCATTGCTGCTCTCATTGAATCCCCCCAGAATAATTTGATAATATTCAGAGAAGGAGAGGTCGTTTGGGGTGAAGGACATCCCTGTGATAATTTAGATAAGGTCTTGAACGAGTGGCTCAACAATGGATCTCAAAAAGACAGTCAACAATTGTTGAATGAATTATATGAGCTGATAGCAGAGGCTATGTATCGAGAATTTCCTCTCGATGAAAAATCGAGCGGCTCAGGTATAAAATCCGATGATATCATCGCAATGTCACGTGTGGATGTGAATCATTCAACGTCTGGTGGCATTCAAGGAGCAAAAGAAAAGGTAGAAACCAGAAAACATTTTTTTTCCCTAATTACTTCTGAACGGAAGCTTTGTAATCGCCCAAATTTAAGGATATCCAAGTACTTTGGCTGTTTTTTCTCAGGGATAGCCATATCCATAAATTACATTTACCGTTAAATTATTAAGTGGTCAATTCGTTAGGAGCACTCTTAAATTTTAGTTATTGAAGTAATCATCAAGTTAAATATTCAAATTCTGAATTATTTATTAGTCAGTAATTTAGTTAGGAAGATTGACGTTTATTTGGATAATCGAAATCCCTTATAAGACAGTTGGTATTATGTACTTAATAAACATTTATTATAATAAGGGTCACGAGGGTTACAATGAGGGTCAGATTAAGGATCCAAATGAGGCTCACAAGGGCCAGATTGGGAATCACAAAGGTCAGATTAAGGATTCAAATAAGGGTCACGGGGTTCAGAAACTAAGGGTCACAAAGGTCAAAATAAGGGTCATGGGGTTCAGAAACTAAGGGTCACAGAGGTCAAAATAAGGGTCACGAGGGTTATAATGAGGGTCAGATTGAGGATCACAAAGGTCAGATTAAAGGTCCAAATAAGGGTCATGGGGTTCAGAAACTAAAGGGTTACGAGAGGGTCCGAATAAGGATCATGAGGGTCATATCGGGGTTGGCGAGCGGAGCGCACAACAGGGGGCGTAGCCCCCTAGTGCTATAAAAAAATGTGCATGAGCCATGCAAAAAAAGCAAAATAAAGAATAACGAATAACAAATTTGTTTTCTTTATCTATTTTCAGATCTGTAATTTCCCAGACGGAAATTTACCTGAGGGTTCTATTCTCGGCTGTCTCTTTCGAATGCAACAACTACACAGTTCCAGTGCTGACCACGTATACAGAATTTATTCACAACATTCAACACACCTCAATGAGGAAATCGTTTATTTCTCAGAGTCATGTGAATACAAATCCGGAGAGAATAGCATTGACTTCAGTGATATTTTAATCTTACGAAATTATTTGCTATTCACTACTGCCAGGGATTGCTCGGTGCTGCTCACCTTTCGCGAAGTTGATCCGTAAGTTTTGGAGAGTCATTGGAATGGAAAGAACAAGAGATTATTCTTGGGGTTTTAATGGATTTTTCGTTTCAGACGAGTGGCGTTCGAGGTTCCACGAGAGCACGTCATCACTGGCGTTGATCAGACGTTTGTTTTTAACATTGGGCTCACGGATTTAGATCCCAAGCCCTTGAATCGTATTGACAGACATCGTCGACGTGCAATTAAGGAGTTGAGTGTTGTGGGGGAGTTTCAGAGTTTATAATCCAGGTTTATGCTTCAATAAAGGATTATTTATTTTTTAGAGAGATCTGTGTTTTATCTATTCATCTGTGAAAATGACACGCCATGGGAAGACCTTAGAACACACTGAGGGAAACGTGATCATAAACATGTCTTGTTTGAACCAAAAATCGCTAGATCTCAAGCAGGGATGGCCATCAATATTAAATTTCTTTAATATTAAAAGGTTTTGCGACTTACATTGATAAAGGTTTAAATACACTCATCAAAATTTAACAATAATGTAATATTAATAGTTTAAATTTTCGATTGATGATGAATTAAATATTTGATAATATAGAACTGCAAATTTTCCATCAAGTGAATATTTCCAATTTCTTGAAAGGAACTATCGATTAACCAAACAATTGGTTAAACTAAATTATTGATTTATTGATTTATAAAATAGTTCAAAATTTGGATATTTAAATTAATGATTAATTGAATGATGAAAAGTTTAAGTTAACTAATTGACGGTTTCAAAGTTTAACGGTAATTATGATTTATGAATAAGGCTATCCCTGATTTCAAGTTCCTTTCTACTTACCATCAACTAAATCTAGAACAATTTCATCATCTCTCTTTTGGGCATGTGAATCAGTGAATGGATTGGTTACATTCAGTGAGAATAGTTTGGACATTATAACATCACTTTCTGAGATGTGTTGACAGCACATAAGTTTGTAAAATCGTCACGTTCGTAACTTGTCTCCTTTTTATTATCATTATCGTAACCCAATCGTGCCTTCGTCTACCATTTATTCATATGTTTAATTAAACATTTTTATTTAGCATGTGTAAATGGATGCATTTAATTTAAGCCTATATTTCGCGCAGGAAAAAATTCAATAGAAAAATCTAGCAAATTTGATAGGCAATTTTATTGAATTTCTACTGAATTTTCTATTAGTTTTTGGGCGGTTCTATTGAAAAAGTCAATAAAATTCGATTTTTCTATACAACTTATTTTATTGAGATATTTTCTGTAAACTTTCCTCAGCTCTCATTTTCTTTTTTTTTTATTTGCTTGGTGAAAAGAAAAGAAAGATAGAATGAAAAGACTTAGAAAATTTGAGCCGAAAAAATTCTATAAGAAATGGAATAAGTCGTGTAGAAACATATTTTATTTATTGCACAATAGAAAATTTCACTAGAATCGGCCAAAAACTACTGGAAAGTTCAATAGAATTATCTATCGAATTCGCTACGTTTTTCTAGAAAGTGTTTTTCAAATTTGTTGGGTCTATAAACAATAAATGAATAAGTAAATGAATAAATAAATAAATAAATAAGATAAAAATGACAAAGATAGAATTTTTTTTATTTTAACATATGAAAGTTTCAAACAGTAATCGCTCTCATTTTAACAACGAAATATTCGACTCAAGAATTAGAATAACGAATGAGTAATACCAGGGATAAAATTTAAGAAAAATCAAATCAAATGTTCAGGACAAGATGTTGCATTCTTGGTAATTTTCTTTTTAAAACAAGTGTAAAATTCAAAGCAGCAGAATTTTTCTAAAAAAATTCACAATTGGAAGTCTAGAGCCTTCCGCAAAATACTTGTGATTTTTCCCTTTTAATTTTTACCTTTTCTTTGCTTTAAATTTCTACTATGGGATTGTTTTCATTTCTTCTCTTGTCTATTGAGCTCTGTTTTTATAATTTATCACCCGTCAACTGTCAATGGACCTATTGTTCAAAATGATGTTCTCTCTTATTCGACACAATCTTCACTAACAGATCACCCAAAATTTTATAGCCTCACATGCAGATTTTTCTTGTAAAAACGGAAGCCATATATTGAAGTTACAATACATATATTCAATATTCAATGCTTGATAATTTCCAAGTTGCAATTTTTTAGTTCAAACAAGACTTTTTTTCTCTCAACCTTCGCTTCAATCAGATATTTCAATCAAAAACAATTTTCAATTTCATCTTGGTCGAGTTACAAGAAGGAAAAATGCTGTACGGATAATAAAACTACTATTGAAATTATAATTTCAAAATTCCCGAGGTATTGCCCGATTAACGCAATAGAACAGGAGTTATCCTGTTACGTCCCAAATGGATTACTCTTTTATTTTCACTGAGTTAAGAATTGATCTGGATTTAGAAGAAAAGATTTAACCCTTCTGGTCGATAACTCCAGGTGTTGAGGGAAGCTATTCCTTTAGGTAGGTTCTTTCCAATCGACTACTGCGCGTAGCTGACCAATCAAACACGATTAGGACACAATTGTTTAATTTAACAATATTTATTCAATAACAAATAACACTTGGGTTTATTACACTGTTCACTATTGTAGTCTTTGAATCTTATGATTTAAGTTTCACTTGATATTTTAAATGTTTTTTTATTTCTTCAATTTTGGTTATTTCAGTTGACTTCGATTATTTTAATAACACTGTGATTTGAGTCCCGAACACCTTGAATTAGGAAATAGGATTTCGGAGTTAGAATATTCACCGGGACTTGACTTGAACTAGAAGTTTAACTTAGTGTTTTGAATAAGATCGGAAGAGGTAGTTATTTCTACTTTCCACTTTGAAGTTGTAGATTGAAGTGATTTCTCTAAGGAAGGATTTGAATATCTAAGGGTTTCTTAGCGGTCACGCGTGGGCGTTCACGCTCTAGTTTCAGAGGGTAGGATTGGTTGATTAGGGATGCTGGAGAGGATAGAGGCGAGCCGGTTGGTTTTTGGGTCAAGCGGGGAGCCTCGATAGTTATGATTGGATTTTTGGACATTAAGGGTGCAGCTGCGTTTTGACTCTTAAGAAAATTCTGTTCTCACGGAACGTTAGAATTGGAAAATGTCACTTGACACTTATGACTTTCAGATTTTTAGAGTTCGCCGTGTTCGGTTTACAATTTCAGGATGAAAATACTTATCTTACATATTTATTTCGACTTTTATGATTTTTTGAAAAGTTTATGATGCACGTGTGCATCCATCTGTTTTTCGGTTTCGTTTATCACGTGGGAATGGTATTTTTAAATGTTTCTCAAGAAAAAATGTGGTCTGGACACTTGAGTGTTATTTCTTAAATGTAATTAATAATTTCTTATTTTATTGGATTGGAAAAATGATATTCGAATATTGGGCCTTATATACTAATTGCTGGTAAGACTCGACAGTCGATAAAGTAAAGTTAAAAATTTAATATAACGCCATCAGGTGGCCAAGGTAGGGACGTAACAATCCACTTGCTTAATCATCAACTATTCAGCAAAACTTTGGATTTGAAAAAGTGAGTAACTAAGAACGTGTTTGGTATGAGGTCTTTTCGATTGAAGTTTCAATATTTACTCAAAAGAGAAGATGATGTCAGAACAGGAGAATTGATTCTTCCCATTTGACAGTAGTACTACTGAAAATAATATTGTCGCAAGTGTTCTGACGTGCCCGTCATTCAATAATATATGTAAATTTTTTTTCATTCGGGGAACAAGGCAATCTTTATCACTTCGTGTTCATTGCTTTCCGATGGCATAAAATTATTCTTATTTTTCATGTCAAATCGACGACATGTGAACCACGAGGTATTTTCGTTCTATTATTCATTCATTTTTGTTCTTGTTTGAACTTGTTGGATGACTCAAGTATTTTGTCGCAAAATATTCCATACTATTATGGAAATTTACGATAAAAATGAAAAGTTTTGAAGACGACGAGAAGTAAATGTTCAAAATAAAGGAAATTTTTTTAGCAACTTCTCGCCATGAATTCTCCATTTGTTTTCCTCCTGTATTATTATTTATTTACTTATTTATTTATCCACATAGCTGATTAGGCTTTTTACATTTTTTTCCTCCTGTATTGTTCTTCTCTTTTCGCTAATGTTTGAAAAATTTGAGCTGAGGAATTTCTACAGAAAATGTCTCAATAGAATAAATTATGCAGAAAAATAAAATTTCCTTCATTATTTTTATAGATTATTTTGCATTGAACATTTCTACGAAAAACACAGATAAGCTGCGCAATTTTCTTCATAGAATTTTTTTAATAGAAATTCCAATAAGATTGTCGAGTGAATGCACAACGTTTTCATATGAAATTTTTGCGTACGTTTTTTGATTTGATTCTTCGAATGATTCCCATCTCCCGATCTTCCCCGACACTTTAAACGTTTTTAAAACTTATTTTTCCCCGACATTTTTTAAATGTCAATGAGGAGTTTAAATGTTGATAAAATTTGATAATGTTTTTTTAATACAAAGAACAATTCCTTCCCTTCGTGACGAGCCTAAACTGAGCTCAATTGATCAATTGGTTTCTGAGTTATGAATAATTTTAAAAAAGTCTAAAGTGTCCGTTTTACCCCACCCACCCCTATATTTCATGTATAATATAATTATTTAAAAAAATATTTATAAAAAATGAAAGTATACATATAAAATACATAAAAAAACATATATATACATATACGTAAAAAAAAATAAAGATATATCAATAATATATCCAAAAATTATATTTAAAAAAATGAAATGAATGAAAAAATTAAAATGTAGATATAATTTTTTTATATCATATATCATTTTTTTCTCTACTATAATATATATAATAGATAATACCGATAATTTGAAAGAAATTAAATAAAAAGGTATTCAAGTTTAAGATGGATATATTCCTAAGCACAGGCATGGCGGAATAGATTGCTGACAAAAAACGTTACATTCTTTTTTAAAAGAGGAAAATTCTTGCATACGTGATCCCCGATTCAAAGACCTCCCATCTCCCGACCTTCCCCAACACCTCGAATCGCTCCAAAAATGCCTCCCCACCCGCCCAAAAACCCCCAATCCCCCCAATCCCAACCCCCATCTCCCCAAAATCCCAATTCCCGATTGACCCTGAATCAGCGGATCTCAAAAAGTCAATACCTTCCGTTATCAGCGAATGGCCCATAGAACGAACCTCATGAATGGCTTCTTCTCAAGAATGAAACCTGGGGAAGTAGATCCCCCTCCCGCCCCGCCCGCCCATTGGTCAGACAGTGCCCAGGAGTGGGGATAAAAATGCGTCGATGGGAATGCGCACGATGAATTCGCTCAAGACCAGCTTTCTTTCACCTCTCGCGGTTTATTACCCCTTAGTGTCAAAAACACCCCCATAATCATCGATCGAGAGTTAAAAAAACCCCGCAGACCCCAAAAAAATCGCCCACTCACTCATCACCTTAAGCGCAATTCCCTCTTCCGTTGATCAACTCCAATTTGACAATTTTTCCTCTCTCTCCCACACTCTCTCCCCTCTCTCTGACCGGCTGGATTGGTTATACGGGCAATACTCACGCCTGTTCCCCAACTTGACACAGCACACAAAATATATAGCCCCGGAGTGTTTGCTTGTAAAATAAATAACCACTATTTATTCATAATTTCTAAATTCCCCTTTTTCACGAGGAAGTGACGGAGTTTGGGCGACAGTGGGTGCATGTGTGGGGACGAGTGCTCGATGAAAATGGACCGGTCGGTTTATCAGTGTGTAAATAAACATGTGATGATGGAATTTCATTGATTGAAATACGTCAAAAGGGGCGGGGGGACGGGGTTTATAATAATTAGAGGAATTGTTCTGTTGGCTGTGGGGGGAGGAGGCCATGGGCACCCAGAAACCAGAGGAATGGGCCAACTTGCTGATTACGAGGTTCGAGGATCAGGTAGGATTGTTGATGGTAGTGGAATAAATGGGGGAATGGTGGGAGAGTTCAAATGATGAGTGTCGGAGGACAAGAATTAGTGCCAAATGAGTTTAGTCGGGAATTTTAGCTTTTTCAGGGGCAAACGATTGCTATTAGTTTGGAGAATGAATGGGGAACTACGAGAATTAATGGAATTTGAATAGACAATTTTAGGGGATTTTTATTGATATTTTATTGAACATTGTATTGGTTTATTTATTGCGTCGCTCGCTTAGGTTTTTTTAAAGGAAAATGTCCAATAGAAATTATTTTGGAAAAAAAACAGTAGATTTCTATCTTTCTATACACTTTTTCTATAAGAAGTCCTTGACGTGAATTTTCTACGTTTTTTCGACTTATTTTTTCACTCCTTCTGTTTTTCTTAACAAAATTCTTCTCTTTACTTCTCTTTTCATTGAAAAAATGAAACAAATAATCCTGATAATGGATGGAAAAGTATGGCAGATCAGTCAAACACATTTGATAGATGATTCTATTGGATTTTTATTGAACTTTTATTGAAAATCCTATTGGTTTATTTATTGCGTAGCTCGCTTAGATTTTTTAAAGGAAAATGTCCAGTAGAAACTATTTTGAAAAAAAAAACAGTAGATTTCTATCTTTCTATACAACTTTTTCTTTAAGAAGTCCTTGACGTGAATTTTCTACGTTTTTTCGACTTCGTTTTTCACTCCTTCTGTTTTTCTTAACAAAATGCTTCTCTTTACGTCTTTTTTCATTGAAAAAATGAAACAAAAAATCCTGATAATGAATGGAAAAGTATGACAGATCAGTCAAACACATTTGATAGATAATCCCATTGGATTTTTATTGAACTTTTATTGAAAATCCTGTTGGTTTATTTATTGCGTAGCTCGCTTAGATTTTTTAAAGGAAAATGTCCAGTAGAAACTATTTTGAAAAAAAAAACAGTAGATTTCTATCTTTCTATACAACTTTTTCTATAAGAAGTCCTTGACGTGAATTTTCTACGTTTTTTCGACTTCATTTTTCACTTCTTCTGTTTTTATTAACAAAATTCTGCTCTTCACTTCTCTTTTCATTGAAAAAATTAAACAAAAAATTCTAGTAACGACTGGAAAAGTATGGCAAATCAGTCAAACACATTTGAGAGATGATTCTATCGGATTTTTATTGAACTTTTATTGAAAATTCTATTGGTTTATTTATTGGGTCGCTCGCTTAGATTTTTTTAAAGGAAAATGTCCAATAGAAATTATTTTGAAAAAAAAACAGATTTCTATCTTTCTATACAACTTTTTCTATGAGAAGTCCTTGACGTGAATTTTCTACGTTTTTTCGACTTATTTTTTCACTCCTGTTTTTCTTAACAAAATTCTTCTCTTTACTTCTATTTTCATTGAAACAATCAAACAAAAGAATCGTGATAATCAAAGGAAAAGTATGACAGATCAGTCAAACACATTTGATAGATGATTCTATTGGATTTTTATTGAAGTTCTAGTAAAAATTCTATTAGTGTTGACTGATTTAATTACAGAATTCCTCAGCTTCCATGTGACCCTTTTGCTTGTCTTTTTTTTAAGGAATATGTCCAATAGAAACTATTTGACTCAAAAATCAGAAGATTTCCATCTTTCTGTACAACCGTTTCCATAGGAATTCCTCGGCATGAATTTTCCACGTTTTTTGCGCTCTTTTTTTCTTCTCTTTTCATTGAACAAATCAAACAAAAAAATTGAAAAATGGAGCTGAATACATTCTATAGAAAATCTCTCAATAGTTTGTATGAGATAATTGAAATCAATTGATTTTTTCTATAAAATATTTTCCATTCAACATTTCTGTTGAAAAATCCCGTCACAATAAACTCTGATAAATCTTATTGGATTTTTGATTGTGAAAATGGAATAATTCCCAAAAATTTGGATCCATCATTTCGAAGAGTTTTTTCCTCAATCGAACTGGTTATTTGAATACTCTTTCATTTTATACACTTCGTCAATTGGAAATAGAAATTATTTCAATCAGTATTCTTTCAATTCACACTGTTGAAATACTTCTATATATGATGCGCAACGAGTCTAAAATAGTAATTAGTCACAAGTATTCCAAATAGGTGACGGTGGGGCGATTATTTTTTGATACATTTGATGTTTCGCATTGAAACATTCACGTATGAAAAACTTTAATAGCAAAACCTAGCGAATTCGCTGGACAATACTATTCAAATGTTCAATAGAAAATATTTTATAGAAAAAGTCCATAGAGTTCGATTTTTCGATACAATTTATTTTATTGAGATATTTTCTATAGAATTTCTTCGGCTCAAATTTGCGAAATTTTTTTCATTTTATTTTTCTTTCTTTTCAATAGAAAATTTCGGTAGAATCGGCCAAAAAATGATAGTTTGTTTCATTTTTTATTATTAAAATGTTCAATAGAACATTTCAATAGACTCTGCCAAACACTACTAGAAAGTTCAGTAGAAATCCACTAGAATTCTCTAACGAATTCCCTAGGTTTTTCTATTAAATTGTTTCGTATATAGCTCATTAGGCTCTTTAACTGTCTCCATACTAACTACAGGAGTTGTTACAAATAGATCTGTACAAAAGATGACGATAAATTAGTGGAAATGAATCCCATCGTCAATTGTTGATAAAATTATTGGCAGTAACTGGGGTTTTTCAGCTGCCATGTCGTGCTGGGCCACAAACAACGAATTCCCGAGTGAACGAGGAGAAGAATCGAAAGTATTTGATCCAAATATCTAGGCACAGGTTCTCGCTGGTCATCGGAGGCTTGACGAAGATATTGCAGAGGGTCAATGAGATGCTCCCTGGTAACAGTGGGCAGAGGCTCTTTCATTACACTGAGCAGGAGAGGAATTGTTATGAGTCGATTATCATCGTTTTGGACACGCTGGAGCAGTGTCTCGCTAATCAGCCGAAGGATACTGCTAATAAGGACGAGACGATGAATGTAAAATTATTGCTGAGGCAGATCTGTCAGTTCATCAGTAAGTAAGAGATTTTTAACAAGTCTATTTTTCATATTCAAGTCTATTTTTGTCTATTGTTCACAATTTTCTGTAAAATAAACCACATGTTGTTGTCAACAGAAAAAATAACAAGAAGTAATTAATCCTCAAATGAGGGAATTCTGTCACTAATTTTCATTGACATGATCTTGAAAATCAGACAGATATCTCTATATATTATAAAAATCCAAATTGACTTCTGGTGATAAAAATTTGGTACCCGAAATTAAGACTCCCAAATTAAGAATCACAAGGGTGAAAATAAGGGTCTCGAGGGTCAGAATAAGGGTCATGAGGGTCAGAATAAGGGTCATGAGCACCAGATTAAGGGTAATGAGGGCCAGAATAAGAATCACGAAGATAGAATAAGGGTCATGAGGGTCAAATTAAGGGTCGTGAGGATCAGATTAAGGATAATGACGGCCATAATAAGGGTCACAAGGGTCAGAATAAGGGTCATGAGGGTCTGATTACGGGTCATGACGATCAGATTAAGGGTAATGAGGGCCAGAATAAGGGTCGTGAGGGTCAGAATAAGGATCACGAGGGTCAAAATAAGGGTCATGAGGGTCAGATTAAGGGTAATGAGGGTCAGAATAAGGGTCACGAGGGATTAGATTAAGGGTGTAAATAAGGGTCACAAGGATTACAGTAAGGGTCCAGAAAAGGATTATGGGGGTCAGAACAAGAATCATAGAGGTCATATGAAGCTTAAAATTCACCAATTATGAATGCATCCCTAAAAGCAAGAACGTTTTCTTCCCTAAATCGTTATCTCTAATCACCCCAATGCATTCTCTTCCAGACATAACAAACGACAGTCACCTGCACTCGCACATAAAGAATCTAGCGAGCAAAGTGCTGTTCGCCCTCAGCCTGAACTTCTTCTCCGCAGTATTCAACCGCATCTCTGACCACCTGCAAGAGCTCTCAGTGTGCAGCGAAGAGAACCCAGACTGCAGTGATATAGAACTAATTCAACATATCAACATCGACATAGACCGATTAATGCAACTGCTAACTGAAACAATCCAAAAATTTCGTCTGCTCAAGAAATCAGCCCATATCATCCTGATGAACTCCCTGGAGCGTGCCATCTGGAACTGGATGGACACGTATCCCCACGAGTTCTCTGACGTCCAGAAGAGGCCAAACGACAACCTAGCCAAAATCTGTGGTGAGCTCTTCGATGTTCTCGACTGTTTTGCGGAGAATAAGAAGGGTCGAGCAGCAGCTGTGTGGCCCCTCCAAATAATGCTACTGATTCTCTCCCCGAAGGTAATCAACTCATGCCATTTTCACACGTAGGACCAAAATTTTATGGGAAAACCCTCCAAATCGCTAGGAAACGGTATTGAGCTTTCTATTAGTTTGTGGCTGATTCTATTGACGATTTCTGTAGTTTATCTGTGAGTGTTTTCAGTAGAAATGTTCAATAGTAAATATTCTATAGAAATATGAATAGAATTATATTTTGATAAAACATACTAGGGGGCTACGCCCCCTCCTCGCTCCGCTCGCCAACCCCCATATGACCTCCATGATCATTATTCTGACTCTTGTGACCCTTAATCTGACCCTCGTGACCCTCATCATACCCCTCGTGATCCTTATTTTGACCCTTCATTTCGGACCCTTAAGTTTGAAGTCTTAATTTTGAACACCAAATTTTCATCACCAAAAGTCGATTTGGATTTTAACAATATAGAGATATTGGCACTCTTATTTAGACCCTGGTGACCCTTAGTTTCTGACCACCATAACCATTATTTGGAGCTTTAATTTGACCCTTGTGATCTTTAATATGACCCTTGAGACCCTCATTTGGATCCTTAATCTGACCCTTATGGCTCTTATTCTTGTAACCCTTAATCTTATGACCCTTATTCTTGTGATCCATCTTGCGACCCTTAATCTGACCCTCGTGACCCTTATTCTGACCAAAAGTCCATTTGGATTTTTACAATATAGAAATATACTGTAACCCGTGTGACCCTTAGTTTCTGTTCACTCTAACTCTTATTTGGATCCTTAATCTGACCTTTATAATCCTTAATATGAACCTTGTGACCCTCATTTGGATCCCTAATCTGACACTTGTTATCCTTATTGGGGCCCTTGATCTGAACCTTGCGGGCCTTATTCTCGTGATCCTTAATCTTGCGACCCTTAATCTGAGCCTCGTAACCCTTATTTCGACTCTCTTAACCCTTATTCTGACCCTTGTGGCCCTTATTCTGACCCTTGTGGCCCTTCTTCTGATCCTCACGACCTTATTTTGACACCGATGACCCTTATTTTCGACACCTTAATATCAAGTACCATTTTTTTATTACCAGAAGTCGATTTGGATTTTTCTAATATAGAGAGATTGTAAACAATGTACTTGACAGCTTTGTCCTTAGTCGTTTATCTCGTCATTTAATTCCAGGATAGAATAAAAAGCATTTTTATTTATCTATCCAAAGGTCCTAGAGGAGATTGTCAATGCAGATACAGGTGCCCCGTGCTCGCCAAAGCACTCAAAAAAGAAGCAGTTCATCGATGGTGTGAAACGAGGCCTAGTGATGCACGGCTCCAGTCGCCAATTAACCGAAGCAGCAGCTGTCACCTGCGTCAAACTCTGCAAGGCCTCCACCTACATCAGCAACCTAGACTCCAGCAACGTCATCTTCACCCTCGTCCAGCACGTGATGAGTGACCTGACAGGTCTCCTCTTCAACCCCAATAAACCATTCTCTAAAGGGGGCAGCTCTCTCTCTCAGGACATCGACCTGATGATCGACTGTTTCGTCAGTTGCTTCAGGATAAAACCCCACAACGACGAGATTCTCAAGATCTGCCTGAACCTCAATTCCCCGTCGATCTATCAGTTCATCCTCGTGAGCTCGTTGTACAGGATTGTCACACAGCCTAGGTTACCCTGGTGGCCTCAGATCGATCTCATTTACTCTAGAAGTCCAGAGCTGAGGAATATGTTCACTGATACGCTGAACAAAGTCACCCAGAGCTACATATCTCACACCCCTTTGAAGATGATTCAGAGCTTTACGATGAAGGGGAAGGAGCAGGGGAAGTACAAGGACAGGGGGGAGGAGATCACTAGTCACAAGAATCTACTGCTCTGGATGGTAAGACTGTTAATGCAAAATTAACGTCATTTCACGTGCAAAAAATTTCATAGCTAAACCGAGCGAATTCACTGGAAAATTCTGTTGGATTTCTATTAATCTTTCTATTGGTTTTTGATCCATTTGTTTCTATTTGAAATTTCCTTAGTCCTGTTCATTCTTTTTTAATAGAAATTCTCAATGAAAAATATTCAATTGAATTCGATTTTTCTGTAGAACTTACTCTATTGAAATATTTTCTGCAGAAAGCTCTCGGCTGAAATTTTCTCAATTTTTCCCTCGATTTTTTTATGAAATGAGAAGATAAATAGAGTGGAAATAACTTGGAAAATTCTTTTCGAGGAATTTCTATGGGAACTGTTTCAATAGAAAAAGGTTTATAGAAAGATGAAATTCTACTGATTTTTTTCCGTACAATTTTCTATTGGACATTTTTCATTTAAAAACACGTAGAAAGGTTATGGAATTCATCAATAGAATCGGAAAAAATTAAGGGAATTTTCACCAGAAGTTGAAAACCAATTCAATAGGATTTACTATCGAATTCGGTAGAGTTTTCTATTTTATTTTTTCAAAATGCTTTTTCACAAAAGAATGTCACCACTTCTGATCTGAGGCACACTTCATGATGCTAACTGACCGTCAATTTTAGGAATATTCAGTAATTATTTACCATCTTAATTGGTGGTGGATCATCGTCTATCTAGTTGAAAACTGACGGTCATTTTTGCATTCACTCATTTTTTTTGTCATTTTCTATCAATTAATTTCAAAGATTTTCTCAGAACTTTGGAAGAGGAAAGGTGGGGTAAAATGGAGCTAGCTAATTGCTCAATGAACTAAAAGAGAGAAATGCAAATGTGATGAAACTTATATTAATTTGGAACTGCATGAAATTAACTGAGAAATCGTATAGATTTGTTAATATTATCTCTCAAGAATTCTACGGAAGTTGAATTATAGACGAATAATCGTTTAAAATTTTTCATTTGATCAAACCCTTCACAAATGTTTTCTCATTAATTAAACGAAAGCTTTGGAATCACAGTGTTTTTTTTTAATAAATTGAATAGCCTTTGGGTAAGTCTCAGAGATTTGGAAGAGAGTGAGCTCTCATCTTCGACAAAATAATACTGTTATATTTATTAAAGTAATAACTCGAGATAAGTCGTAGAGGCGTATTTATTGACAGTTCTTCAGAATCCAAGATCAAAAAAAGAGTAAATTCGTCCTGAAGTTATCTCTCAACATTAGAATAATAATCATCAGTCCTTTATTTTACAAAAAAGAGGAAGAGGATAAATTAAACCATTCGATTCCGTAACAATACTTTGAAGAGAAAAATATAGAGTGCCCTATCTATAAATATAGAAAATTATCATGAAAATATATAGAAATATATAGAAATTTATCTACATATATGTAGGAATTTATTATAAAAAATTACCTATATAGAAATTTATCATAAAAATGTCGTCTTGTTATTCTTGCGTCATTAATTAAGACCCGGGTATACTATCTTTCGAACGTTATCTCGATGTTTTTTTTTCGTCTTTCGTCATCTGAAATTGTCAATTAAGTCCTGCATCATGCAGAAGTTTTGAAAAATTATGAATGAATAATCAAAAAAAGTAGAAGAAATTATTAATTTTGTCAAAGAGCATTTTTAATTTATATTCAGAATAAGTTGAATAACAAGAAATTGAAAAATGTATCTGATTTACGGTGACAAATGGCGGCCTGTCACCCAATATCATGCAGGGGGAAGACTGATTTCGTAAATCTTTTCCCACACTGCACAGAGACATTTATTACGGAAAAGGCTCTTTGAAAAAAGTTGTAATATTTTGGAGAATTTTTTAATCACACTTTTATCACATAAAAATGGCAGATGACTACATACCACTNACAGCGAATCAGATATTTGTAATTTCCACTTTTTTCAACTCATTCTGAATCTCAATTAAAAACGCTCTTTGAAAAAGTTCAGAATTTTTTCAATTTTTTTTATCATTCTATCATAATTTTTGGGAATTCCTACATGATGTACCACTCAATTGACAATTTTGAATCACGAAAGATGAAAAAATCCAGATAACATTCGAAAGACAGTACCCCCGGGCCTTAACTCATTATTTTTTTCGTTACATCCTCAGGTAAGGCTCATTCATACCGACCCCATGCTGATGCTGTACAATCACGGAAAGGCTGGGCATGAAATCCAGAGTTCAACTCTCGAGTTGATCAACGGACTCGTGTCTCTGGTGCATCAGCCAACGATGCTCGATATTGCTAATGAAGCTATGGAGGCACTTCTGGTTCTCCATCATCCTGATAAGATCAAGGCGTGGAACCCGGAGGCACCCATCAAGACCTTCTGGGACGTAAGCTCGCAGGTCCTTTTCTCGATATCTCAGAAGCTCATTCAGCATCAGATCGTCAATTACACGGATATCCTCAAGTGGCTGAGGGAAATCTTGGTCCGGCGGAATGCTTTTCTCTCTGAGAATAAGGATTATGCGAATGTGGGGAGTCAGATCGCCATCTGCAAGCAGGCGCATATCAAGTTGGAGGTGGTTTTTTTCATGTATCTCTGGAGTATCGATATGGAGGCTGTGTTGGTCGCTCTTTCGTGTTTTTCGTTGATCTGTGAGGAGGCCGAGATACGGTGTGGAAGTGATGAGGTCGCTGTCACTTGTCTTCTGCCTAATTATCATTTGTATATTGAACTCGCGCAGACGTCGTCGACGCTTACCACTGGTGAGTTAAATACATTGAGTAATTAATAGTGAAAATAGTTGCATGTCTAGCATTCTAAGATCGTGATAATGTCATGATAATGTCTGAAGGAACTGAACATTGTTGAGACTGATATCTTCGTAGAAGATGGAAGCATTCTTTATGTTCTAGTCTTTTGGATGATGACATTGAACTTTCCTGTTCAACAATTGAAAACAATTAAAATTGAAATTTTTTGAACAATTTCAAAGTTTCATGGAAGACTTTCATCATCTTTTAGATAAACCGTAAAAAGTTGACGATTGAAACTTTCATGAAAGTTTTACTGACATTATTCTGTAGATAACTTCAATGGAATTGAATAAAAGATGAGAATTTTTTGAATTATTAATTATCTCTTGTGGAATGTCACGAATATTCGCGTAACGAAATTTAATTCATTGCCACTTCTTTTTTATTCATGGTCTTTTAAGGTCATGAGAATGTCTGATAACGCATGAAAAAATTCAATAGAAAACCTGGACAATTCGCTAGAAAATTCTGTAGGATTTTTATTCGAATTTTATTGAAAAATTCTATTTGTTTTTTGCGCTGATTCTATTGAATATTCAATAAGAAAAATTCAATAGATTTCAAATTTCTGTTTGAATTTTTCTTTTACATTTTTTCTATTAGAATTATTGGGCACAACTTTTCTAAGTTTTGTCCGTTGGATTTTGTTTTGTTTTGCGTTTCAGAATCCGAGTGGAAAAAACTTTGAAAATTGATGCCCACGCATTCTTATAGAAAAAATCTCAAGAAAAAAATTCAAACAGAAATTCGAAATCTATTGACTTTTTCTTATCGAATATCCAATAAAATCAGCGCAAAACACGAATAGAATTTTCCAATAGAATTCCAATAGAAATCCTATGGAAATCCCATAGAATTCCTATAGAATTCCAATAGAATTTTTTAGCGAATTCGCTAGGTTTTCTATTGAATTTTTTCATGAGTGATGGAACTGAACATTATTGAGAATGATATCTTCGTGGAACATAGATACGTTCTCTATTATTTTGATTTTTTGCATGATGACATTGAACTTTCCTCTTCCATTGAAATTGTCTATAAAACAATTTCAAAGTTCCACTGAAGACTTTCATCACCTTTTAGATGAATCATGAAATCTTATCGATTGACAGTTTCATTGGAATTATTTCATAGACAATGTCAATGGAACTGAATAAAAAAAGAAAATTTTTTTTGAATGATTAATTATCTGTTTTGGGAAATTATGAAAATCTTGATTTAAGAAAAATTCACGAATTTTCACTCGGTCGTATTCATAACAATGCATTCTATTCCACTGGATATGCAGCTAGTGGAGAAAGTAGGATATGTTATCATGAACATAATCAAGGTAAGATGTATTCATAAATTTAATGATGAGATTTTAGTGGAACACCTTTCGAAATTCAAGAGTAATAGCGAAATTTATTTAGAGTAAAGTGAGATGTTGAAAACATTTTGAATACATTCTTCGTCTGTGAAGAGATATAATGCTTCATATACTAGAATTAGCACCCGAAAAATACACATAATGTCCCTCAGAAACACTGAGATTGAATTAACCCTCGATGTACATCTTGATGTTCATCCGTACGCATGAATTTTCTAAGTTTTTTTCACACGGATGCTGCAATGCAAAACAAAACAAAATATAGCGCAAAAAAATGAGGAAATCTCTGCCCATTCTAGCTAGCTCTATTTTATACTTATAATTTGAGTCATTGATTGTAGCTTCGCTACTAGATCCGTCCTTCGTCTCCATTTTGCTTCCCCAAATTCCTTTATTACATATCGATAACTCAAATATTTGCCATATCATTAAATTACCATTCAAATTCCTGCAAACATTGTCTATTGAATATTTTCTATTGAAAATTCCAGTAGAAAAATTGGAACTAGAATTAGCCAAAAACTAACAGAAAGTTCACTAGAAATCCACCAGAAGTTTCTAACGAATTCGTTATATTTTTCTATCAATTTTCTTCCCGCGTGTACCTTTAACCCTCGATCTCAGGTCGCGCAGCCCTCCAGAAGCGGATAATGGCGCTCCTCCGAAAGATCGAGCACTGCGTGAACGGTGTCCAGCCGGCCTGGGAGGAGACCTTCCGCAACTGGGAGTTCACGTGTCGCCAGTTGACCAACTACCCCAAGAACAAAACCGAAGACGGCCAAGTGGAGTCCTTCCACCGCAGCACAAGCAAACGCCGGGCGTCCCACCAGAACTCGGAGCACGAGCTGGAGGAGCAGATCAACGAATGGGCGAACATGACAGGCTTCCTCTGCGCCCTGGGTGGCGTCTGCCTGCAGCGAAAGTCCCCGAACCGTCCCATGTCCTCGGGCATCCTGCCGACCCCTGAACCCAAGAAGCCCCTGACAAAGTCCCAAGAGGTCTGCCTGGCCAACCCCAGCCAAGAAGTCCAATACTGTCCAGTGACGCAGTTTGTCTTCAACCTCCTGCGCCTCCTGATCTGCAACAACGAGAAATTCGGCGCCCAAATCCAGAAGCACGTGAAGGAGCTGGTGGGCCAGGAGATGAGCCCAGCGCTGTACCCCATCCTCTTCGACCAGATAAAAAGCATAGTCGAGAAGTTCTTCGACCAGCAGGGCCAGGTGATCGTGAACGACCTGAACACCCAATTCATCGAGCACACGATTTTCATAATGCGAAACGTCCTGGAGTCGAAGTCCGACCAGCCCTCGGAGTACCTGGGGATGACGAGCATCGAGGGAATGACCTTAGCAATAGTGAGATACGTTCGTCACCTGGACACGACAGTCTACGCAATCCACATAAAGACGAAGCTCTGTCAGCTTGTGGAGGCCATGATGAAGCGAAGGGACGACTTGGCCTTCAGACAGGAGATGAAATTCCGAAACAAACTGGTGGAGTACCTGACCGACTGGATAATGGACACAACCCACCATATAGGGTCTCCCCCAAACTCAGCAGACATGACAACGATCACTCGAGACCTCGAGCAGGCCTGCATGGAGGCAGTGGGTTCCCTCCTTCGAGGGCTGCCGCTGCAGCCGGAGGAGTCAGACAGGGGTGACCTCATGGAGGCCAAATCCCAGCTGTTCCTCAAGTACTTCAGCCTGTTCATGAACTCGTTGAACGACTGCAACGACGCTGCCAACGAGGAGAAGGAAGTCGTCTCGAGGCAGAGGCTGACCAGCGATAAGCTCTCGAGCCTTCGAAACGCGACCATTCAAGCCATGTCCAATCTCCTGAGTGCCAACATAGACAGTGGACTGATGCACTCCATCGACCTGGGGTACAACAGGGACCTTCAGACGAGGGCGGCCTTCATGGAGGTGCTGACAAAGATCCTGCAGCAGGGGACTGAGTTCGATACTCTAGCTGAGACAGTCCTGGCGGACAGGTTCGAGCAGCTGGTGCAGCTGGTAACAATGATCAGTGACAAGGGTGAGCTGCCCATAGCAATGGCCCTTGCCAACGTGATAACTTCGAACCAGATGGACGAGCTGGCGAGGGTATTCGTCACCCTCTTCGACGCCAAACACCTCCTCTCCCCTCTGCTATGGAACATGTTCTATCGCGAGGTCGAAGTCTCCGACTGCATGCAGACCCTCTTCAGGGGGAACAGTTTGGGCTCCAAGATAATGGCATTCTGCTTCAAAATCTACGGCGCCAGCTACCTCCAGAGCCTCCTGGAGCCCCTGATAACACCGTTAATAGAGGACTCGTCGACGAATTTTGAGGTGGATAGTGCGAGGATCGATGTGAACGAGAATATCGAGCAGAATGGACGAAACCTGATAGCACTCACCCAAAAAGTCTTCGACGCCATTGTCTCCTCGGCCGACAGATTCCCCCCACAGCTGCGCTCCATGTGCCACTGTCTCTACCAAGTGCTGTCCAAGAGGTTCCCCCAGTGTCCCCAGAACAACATAGGAGCAGTGGGAACAGTGATTTTTCTCAGATTCATCAATCCAGCTATAGTCTCCCCCCAGGAGATGGGGATTGTCAACAAACCAGTGCCTGTCCAGGTGAAACGAGGGCTCATGCTCATGTCCAAGATCCTCCAGAACATCGCCAATCATGTGGAGTTCAGCAAGGAACAGCACATGCTGCCATTCAACGATTTTCTTCGTCTCCACTTCGAGATCGGTCGACGATTCTTCATTCAGATAGCCTCAGACTGCGAAACTGTGGACCAAACCAATCACCCAATGTCCTTTGTGTCCGATGCAAATGTCCTGGCACTTCACAGATTACTCTGGAATCATCAGGAGAGGATTGGAGACTACCTCAGCAGCTCACGAGATCACAAAGCTGTTGGACGAAGACCTTTCGACAAAATGGCAACACTACTGGCTTACCTCGGACCCCCTGAGCACAAACCCGTTGACTCTCACCTCCTCTTCTCCTACGCAAGATGGTCCAGCATCGACATGTCCTCCACAAACTTCGAGGAGATCATGGTCAAGCACAACATGCACGAGAAGGAGGAGTTCAAGAGCATCAAGAGTCTCAATCTCTTCTACCAAGCTGGCACCTCTCGCCAGGGGAATCCGGTCTTCTACTACATCGCCCGCAGGTACAAGATCGGTGAGACCAACGGTGATCTGTTGATCTACCACGTAATGCTGACGCTGAAACCCTTCTGTCACGCCCCCTTCGAGCTCGTCGTCGACTTCACCCACACGTGCTCGGACAATCGCTTCAGAACGGAGTTCCTGCAGAAGTGGTTTTACGTTCTCCCCGAGGTGGCCTACGCCAACATCCACGCAGCCTACATCTACAATTGCAACAACTGGGTGAGGGAGTACACGAAGTACCACGACAGGATCCTGGCCCCCCTGAAGGGCAATCGAAAGGTCGTCTTCATAGACTCACCAGCGAGGCTCAACGAGGTGATCGAGCCAGAGCAGCAGAAGCTCCCAGGGGCCACCCTCACCCTCGACGAAGATCTCAAGGTCTTCACCAGTGCTCTGAAGCTGTCCCACAAGGACACCAAAGTCTCCGTCAAGGTCGGCCCCTCAGCGATCCAGATAACAGCCTCAGAGAGGACCAAAGTCCTGTCTCACCAGGTACTCCTCAACGACGTTTACTACGCCTCTGAGATCGAGGAAGTCTGCCTCGTCGACGACAATCAGTTCACGCTGACCATCTCCAACGAGGCAGGGCCGCTCTCGTTCATTCACAACGAGTGCGAAAACATTGTCCAGGCTGTTATCCACATCAGAAACCGGTGGGAGCTGTCCCAGCCGGACTCCATGTCAGTGCACACCAAGATCCGGCCTAAAGACGTGCCTGGCACCCTCCTCAACATGGCACTACTGAACCTGGGGAGCTCAGACCCCAATCTCAGGACAGCTGCGTACAACCAGCTGTGCGCACTGACAGCCACCTTCGACCTCAAGATCGAGGGACAACTCCTGGAGACCTCTGGCCTATGCATTCCATCCAACAACACTATTTTCATTAAACACTTGAGTGAGACTCTGGCTGCCAACGATCCACACCTCACCCTGGAGTTCCTCGAGGAGTGCATGCGGGGCTTCAAGGTCTCCACGATCGAGCTCAAACACCTCTGCTTGGAGTACATGACCCCGTGGCTGAAGAATCTCGTGAGATTCCACAAGCCCAACGACGAGGGGGGTAAGAGGCAGCGACAGGTCACGCAGATCCTCGAGAAGCTCATCATCCTGACCATTGAGGAGGTGGAGATGTATCCCAGCATTCAAGCCAAGATCTGGAGCACCATCGGTCGTCTTCCAGAGCTCATCGACACTGTTCTCGATAATTTCATTCAGAAGAGTGTGGGGTATGGCCTGGGCTCGCCAATGGTGGAGATAATGGCGGACACAGCAGTGGCTCTGGCCTCTGGAAATGTCCAGCTCGTCGCCAAGAAGATCATTGGGAGGCTCTGCAGGGTTGTCGATGCAACCTGCACCTCACCGACTCCTCTGCTCGAGCAGCACATGAAGTGGGATGACATCGCGATACTAGCGCGGTATCTCTTGATGCTGTCCTTCAACAATTGTCTGGATGTTGGGAAGCACCTGCCTTATCTCTTTCACACTGTCACCTTCCTCGTTTGCTCTGGGAGCTTGTCCATGAGGGCGTCCACTCATGGGCTTGTGATTAATATCATTCACTCGTTGTGCACCTGCAATTCTCCCTCGTTCTCGGAGGACACCTACAGGGTCTTGAGGATGAGCCTCGATGAGTTCTCGTTACCAAAATTTTATCTCTTGTTTGGCATCAGCAAGGTCAAGTCTGCTGCTGTGACTGCGTTCAGGTCCAGCTGCAGGCACTCCAGTGATAAGTGGTTCGCCAATGAAAGAACCACGTGTGGGGGACTGGATCGGGAGAGGCTGGCGCTGACAAGCCTGGAGGTCATCACTGATGCTCTGCTGGAGATCATGGAGGCGTGCATGAGGGACATCCCCAGGTGCGACTGGCTCAGGACTTGGACGTCTCTAGCCAAGAGCTTTGCGTTTTGCTTTAATCCGGCCCTTCAGCCTCGAGCGCTTATCGTGTTTGGGTGCATATCCAAGAGCATTACTGATCAGGAGATCAAGCAGCTGCTGAGGATTCTAGTCAAGGCTCTCGAGAGCTTCAACGATATTACTTTGCTGGAGGCCATCATCATGTGTCTGACGAGGCTGCAGCCCTTGCTGAGGCCGGAGTCTCCTATTCACAGGTAGTCATTGGAACTGTTGGATTATTTGAATAGGTATTTTCTCATATTTAGAAGGTACGCTGCCTGCGCGCTCCACTCCCCAACCCCCATCTGACTTGGGACCCTTAATCTGACCCTCAGGACCCTCATTTTGACCATTGATCATGATCATTTTCAGTATACCCCTCGTGACCTTTATTTTGACCCTTCATTTCTGACCCTTAATTTTGGAGTCTTAATTTCGAGCACCAAATTTTCATCACCAGAAGTCCAGTTGGATTTTTGCAATGTAGAGAGATATCAGACCCTTATATTGACCATTGTAAACCTTAGTTTCTGACCCCATGACCCTTATTTGGACCCTTAATCTAACCTTTGTGATCCTTAATCCTTAGCCTTTATGACCCTCATTTGGATCCTCAATTTGACCCTCATTATAACCCTCGTGACCCTTGGTTTTTGACCCCCATGTCCCTTATTTGGACCCTTACTCTGACCCTTGTAACCCTTGATCTGATCCTGGTGAGGTTTATTTAAAACTTTAATCTGACCCTTGTTACCCTTTTTTGGGCCCTTGACCCGATCCTTGCGACCCTTAATCTGACTCACATAACTGTTAATCACAGCCTTGGGACCCTTATCTGACCTTTGTAAATCGAAAACTGACCCTCATGACCCTTATTTTGACTCTCGAGACCCTTATTCTGACTCTCGTAACTCTTATTTTGACTCTCATGGCCCTTGTAACCCTTTATTTTGGAGTTAATCAAACCCTTGTTACCCTTAAAATTGTGACCCTTAATCTTGCAGTCCTTAATCTGGCCCACATAACCCTTAATCAGACCCTTGTGACCCTTATTTGGATCATTATTTTGATCCTTGTAATTCTTAATCTGATCCTCGTGATCTTTATTCTACCCCTCGGGACCCTTATTCTAACCCTCGTGCCCCTGTAACCCTTAATCTGATCCTGGTGACGCTTATTTAAACCTTTAATCTGACCCTTATTACGCTTTTTTGAGCCCTTGACCCGATCCTTGTGACCCTTAATCTGACTCACATAACTGTTAATCACAGCCTTGGGACCCTTATTCTGACCTTTGTAAATCGTAAACTGACCCTCGTGACCCTTATTTTGACCTTCGTGACCCTTATTCTGACTCTCATAACTCTTATTTTGACTCTCATGGCCCTTGTGGCCCTTTATTTTGGAGCTAATCAAACCCTTGTTACCCTTAAAATTGTGACCCTTAATCTGGCTCACATAACCCTTAATCAGACCCTTGTGACCCTTATTTGGATCATTATTTTAATCCTTGTAATTCTTAATCTGACCCTCGTGATCTCTATTCTACCCCTCGGGACCCTTATTCTAACCCTTGTGGCCCTTATTATGACCCTCGTGACCCTTATTCTGATTCGTAACCCTTATTCTAACCCTCGTAAGCCTTATTCTGACCCTCATAATCCTTATTCTGATCCTCATGACCCTTGCGATCGTTCATTTCGAAGGCTTAATGTCGAGTACCAAATTTTTATCACCAAAATTCGATTTGGATTTTTATAATATAGAGAGATACTGACCAATCGCCAATTAAAAATTTTCATTACATCGTTAATTTCCCCATTTGAATCACCCGATTATATTACAAAACTGATGATTACTTTCGATCCCCGCACAGGTACCTCTTCTGGGTGGCTAATTCAATTCTGCAGCTGGATGAGGCGCCTCTTTATGCCTCTGGCCTGGCCCTCCTCGAACAGAATCTCCACACCTTGGACTCACAGGGAATTTTCGATGATAAGAGTCTGGAGAAGGTGATGATGTCCACTAGGGAGCCTCTGGAGTGGCATTTCAAGCAGCTGGATCACGCTGTGGGGCTGTCTTTCAAATCCAATTTTCATTTTGCACTTGTGGGACACTTGCTCAAGGGCTACAGACATCCCACACCCACCACTGTCACCAGGACTGCAAGGGTGCTGACGATGCTCCTTGCTATCGTGGCGAAGCCCTTCATGAGGGATAAATTCGAGGTCACGCCGGAGAGTGTGGCTTATCTCGCTGCTCTGGTGCATGTGAGTGAGGAAGTCAGGAGCAGGTGTCATGTGAGGCACTCGTTGGGGAGAAATGTCACAGAGTCCAACTCGAGTGATTTTCTGGATGTGCTGGTGGCGAATGGACCTGATGTCAATCCTATGAACAATCTCACGAGTAGAAAGCAGAAGTCTTGGGATCTGCTGGATCAGAATGCCATCAGTCAGGCCAGACTGCAGAAGCCGCAAACTTCTCATCAGAGTGGGAGGACTTTGTTCAAGACGCAGAGGTCGTTCTCGGTGCCCACTACCAAGGAGGCGAAGGCTATCGATGAGGGCGAGGCGAAGGTAATTCAGCACGGACTAAAAAATTTAAGAGAAAAGCCTATCGAATTCGTTGGAAAATTCTGTTGAATTTCTATTGAACTGTTCTATTAGTTTTTGGCCGATTCTATTGAAATGTTCAGAAAAAGTCAATAGAATTCAATTTTTCTATGTAACTTATTCTATTGAGATATTTTCTGTAGAATTTCCTCGGCTCAAATTTTCCCAGTTTCCCAAATGTGAACTCCTGCGTTTTTCAGAATCGAAGCATGAGAGTCAGTGTCAGCAACGAGAATAATGTCCTTTTGGATCCAGAGGTGCTCACTGATTTTTCAACGCAAACGCTTGTTCTCACGATCCTAGCGACTTTGGTGAAGTACTCCACTGATGAGAATGAGACGAGAATACTTTACGAATACCTTGCAGAGGCCTCTGTCGTGTTTTCGAAAGTCTTCCCAGTCATGTGAGTAAATCGATGAACAATATATTGTAATTTAGCTCCTATAATTGTCCTAGGATTCATCTCGGAAACAATCTAAAAAAAATGTCTTGAAATTTCTTGTGAGAATGAAATTTCTAAAAAAATAAACTCCTGAATTTTTCTTTCAAAACATTCATTGTTGAGACGATTCGACATTTAAAAAAAACGAACGATCTCTTGAAAAAATAATAATGACTCATATTTTGTACAAAAAAAATGTAAGCAATGGTCCACGCATGAAAAAATTCAGTAGATAACCTAGCGAATTCGCTAGAAAGTTCTATTGGAATTTTGTGGGGTTTCTATACGATTTCTATTGGAATTCTGTTGAAAAATTCTACTTGTTTTTTGCGCTGATTCTATTGAATACTTAATAAAAAAAGTCAATAGATTTCTATTTTCTGTTTGAATGTTCTTCTTCGAGTTTTTCTATTAGAATTATTGGCCACAAATTTTCTAAGTTTTTCCGTGAGATTTGGCTTTGTTCTGCATTACGGAATCCGAGTGGAAAAAAATTTGAAAATGGACGAGCAAGCATTCTTGTAGAAAAAGTTTCAAGAGAAAAGTTCAAACAGAAATTCGAAATCCATTGACTTTTTCTTATCGAATGTCCAATAGAATCGGTGCAAAAAACAAATAGAATTTTTCAATAGATTTCCAATAGAAACCCCATAGAATTCCCATAGAATTTTCTAGCGAATTCGCTAGGTTTTCTATTGAATTTTTTCATACGTGATGGAACTGAACATTATTGAGAATGAATTAATAATGCTTGATATCTACATAAAAAATAGATAAGTTCTCTATTTTTTTTATTTTTCGCATTCTTATAGGAAAAATATCAAGAGAAAAATTCAAACAGAAATTCGAAATCCATTAACTTTTTCTTATCAAATATCCAATAGTATCAGTGCAAAAAACAAATAGAATTTTTCAATTGAAATTCTATAGAAATCCTATAGAATTCCTATAGATTTTCCATAGAATTTTCTAGTGAATTCGCTAGGTTTTCTATTGAATTTTTTCATACGTGATGGAACTGAACATTATTGAGAATGAATTAATAATGCTTGATATCTTCATAAAAAATAGATAAATTCTCTATTTTTTTTATTTTTCGCATTCTTATAGGAAAAATCTCAAGAAAAAAATTCAAACAAAAATTCGAAATCCATTAACTTTTTCTTATCAAATATCCAATAGAATCAGCGCAAAAAACAAATAGAATTTTTCAATAGAAATCCTATAGAAACCCTATAGAATCCTATAGAATTCCGATAGAATTTTCTAACGAATTCGCTAGGTTTTCTATTGAATTTTTTCATACGTGATGGAACTGAACATTATTGAGAGTGAATTAATAATGCTTGATATCTTCATAAAAAATAGATAAGTTCTCTATTTTTTTTATTTATCGCATTCTTATAGGAAAAATATCAAGAGAAAAATTCAAACAAAAATTCGAAATCCATTAACTTTTTCTTATCAAATATCCAATAGAATCAGCGCAAAAAACAAATAGAATTTTTCAATAGAAATCCTATAGAAACCCTATAGAATCCTATAGAATTCCGATAGAATTTTCTAACGAATTCGCTAGGTTTTCTATTGAATTTTTTCATACGTGTCATGATTGGAAAAAGTTCTGATTTGTATTCATGAAAGCGAAATAATAAAATTCTTTGATGATTTCCCCATTTACGTACCTACAATAGAAATTTAATGAAATTTCTCAGAGAAAGAAAGCTACTTCATAAATTACTAATTTTTCTCCAGCAATAATTTGCTAGATGCAAAAATCACCAGTGTTCTGTCATCCTGCCACGATCAAGTGATCGTAAGTGCAGTTCAGGCCATAATCCAGAACATGATAGCTTGTGATGATACGGGTCAACAGCTCCACTACCTCCAGAGTTGTGGATTTGGAGGTCTCTGGAGGTTTGCAGGGCCCTTCGCCAAGTGCAATCGCACAGCTGAGAGCGCTGAGTTATTCGTTAATTGTCTCGAGGCCATGGTGGAGACGTGTCTGCCCACTGAGGAGAATGAAATTCTCAACAGTGAGTCGTCGATTGAGAGTGAGAGGAAGAATGATAATGTACAAATGCAGGGGAAGAATGCTCCATTGAGAGGACGAAATCATTCTCAGGAAATTAGTTCAAAAGAAGCTTCGTCTTCTGGACCAAGAGAGTAAGTTTATTATCATTAACAGAGGAAAAAAGTTTCAGTTTTGAAGGGTATACACCCCTCCTTTGTGTGGCCCTATGGTCCTAGAATTTAACAAATGCGATAATTCTGCAATCCAGTGGTTTTTCAGTCATTTTTAATAATAATGATCTTGAAAATTGGAGGGAAATTTCTCATTTCCAGGAGTATTCACATCCAATTTTAAATAACTTTTCATTAGAACACGTACGGAAAAATTGAATAGAAAAATTTTGCGAATTCGCTATAAAATTTCATTGGAATTCTCTAGAATTTCCTAGAATTTTAATAAAATCCCAATAGAATTTCTGGAGAATTCCAATAGAATTTTCTAGCGAATACGCTAATTTTTTTCTATTGAATTTTCTCATACGTGAATTCATCAGCTTTTTCAGCATTTTACTCTTCAAATATTCAACACGAAATTTTTTATTTTTGGAAATTTTCAATTTGCATTTTTTTCCGCTCATAAAATACTTGTCTATTATGATTGAAAAATTGTGTTTCATTCAAAGAAGATAAAATAATAATAATGATGATAATAAAAAAATCAAGGTGATTGAAAAAATGCACAATCTAAACACCAGTGACTAATTTTCTTATGAGATGAACCTCTGAATAAAAATTGAGTTTTCTCATACATGAATTCATCAGCTTTTTCAGCATTTTACTCTTCAAATATTCAACACGAAATTTTTTATTTTTGGAAATTTTCAATTTGCATTTTTTTCCGCTCATAAAATACTTGTCTATTATGATTGAAAAATTGTGTTTCATTCAAAGAAGATAAAATAATAATAATGATGATAATAAAAAAATCAAGGTGATTGAAAAAATGCACAATCTAAACACCAGTGACTAATTTTCTTATGAGATGAACCTCTGAATAAAAATTGAGTTTTCTCATACATGAATTCATCAGCTTTTTCAGCATTTTACTCTTCAAATATTCAACACGAAATTTTTTATTTTTGGAAATTTTCAATTTGCATTTTTTTCCGCTCATAAAATACTTGTCTATTATGATTGAAAAATTGTGTTTCATTCAAAGAAGATAAAATAATAATAATGATGATAATAAAAAAATCAAGGTGATTGAAAAAATGCACAATCTAAACACCAGTGACTAATTTTCTTATGAGATGAACCTCTGAATAAAAATTGAGTTTTCTCATACATGAATTCATCAGCTTTTTCAGCATTTTACTCTTCAAATATTCAACACGAAATTTTTTATTTTTGGAAATTTTCAATTTGCATTTTTTTCCGCTCATAAAATACTTGTCTATTATGATTGAAAAATTGTGTTTCATTCAAAGAAGATAAAATAATAATAATGATGATAATAAAAAAATCAAGGTGATTGAAAAAATGCACAATCTAAACACCAGTGACTAATTTTCTTATGAGATGAACCTCTGAATAAACGTGTAGAACATCTGTGAATAAGATTTAGAAACGTTTTGGCTCTGATGATCAGGGATTTTATCCCTAAATTTCAGTGACAACAATTAGTAATGCTTGATGTATTCCTGAAAACTGAAACTTGTTTTCTTATTATTCGGTTTTTTTATTATTCGCGTTCTAATAAAAATGAATTTATCAGATTTCATGTCGATAATAAAAGGGAATCAACGGTTTCTACCCACGTGAACAACATCTCTAATTCATAGCGTTTATTGCAAAACTCTCGACACTTTGAGGCTGGCTACAGCCGGGTGAACAGACTCCATGACACCAAGGAACCCCGGTCATTCAGGTGATGATGGACAAACCAATGACAGCATTTATGTATCGTTTATAGGAAGGGTGTGAAGCTTTAAATTGAATTGTTTTTAATTTTAGGGGAATTATTAGTTATTTTAGGAGGGAAGTGGTAGATCGAGATGAGCCAATTTCAATTATTTCAATTATTCAATTATTTGCGTAAAAAAAGGCGTGAAGAAAATTTGGATATTTTCTTTGCATTCAGAGATATTTATGGTAATGAAAAATCTCGAATTTATTGAGTTATAGACTTATAATTGAATTTATAGACTCTCTTTTTTGTTAAAGATTTGGATCTGAAGGGAAATAGGGATTTTTTGTGTATATTATTCCTCTTATGGAGCTTTCATTTCACTCCAGGAAAATTGAATTATTTCTCCTATATTCGTAAACACTCATGAGAGAATCTGAATAATTGAATCTTTATTCAATGACTCCAGAAGTGAACTGAAAAAATTCTTAAAGGGAGATCGCACTGAAATTTCACAATCGAAGAGACCTTTCACATATGGAAAAATTCAATAGAAACCTCAGTGAATTCGCTAGAAAATTCTATCGGAATTCTCTCAACATTCGATTGGGAGACAATTTTTTCAACTTTTTACGAAAAACTATTTTGTTGAATATCTCCCAAATTGCTGGTTCAATTAATTTTTTTTAATATTCGTCTTATTTCGTTATATTCTGAATAAATGATTCGAAAAATCTGAAAAAATTCCTACTTCAATGTTTTCAAGTGTAATTGAATATCACTAGTTTTTCCAAATTTTCATATCAGCCAATTTCGAGAAAAAAATGCAAAAACTCAGAAAATATAAATAAATTTTTTAAAAAGCTCGTACGATGTTCCGTTTGTGTACATATTATGTCTGTATGAACTAAAATTAGAGTCAATCGGTTGAGAATGACGTCCCGAGGACTCTTCCTGATCAATAAAAAAATCAAAACCTAATTTTTCTTATTCTTTACATCAAAATTGAAGTAGTAAACTCATCAGCATAATGAAATCACTAGCGATTTTAAAAATTCAGTGTGGTCTCTCCTAAAAATGCAAGAGCAGTCAAAATCCCCGAGATAAATTGACGCATCTCGCTCCATCACTTCTGCTACATGTCTATTCTATCCTTTTGTCGTTGAAAACGCACAGGAACTTGGCTTTGTATTTAATTTCTCATCGTGCAGATGAAATTAATTTTTTATTCCATTGGAGTGTGGATCTGTATCCCTGGAGACATTGACTTTAGCATTGAGTACCAAGACCAATGACGACTCGATTATTTTCCACCGATTGTATAATACACCTTAGACTTATGAACAAATGAAAATTATTCAACGAGAGAAATGTGGAGAACGACAAGTCCTGAGCCTTCTCGTGTAGCAACTGAAAATAGAAGTTAGAGTAATTTTTAAATAAATGCAATTTCGTATGCGGCCTATTACCGTACTACAATCCGTAATTAGTATTGTAGGTCGTTCGTATAATCAATGTGATGTATTTACTAAAAATTTTAATGCCAATATCAATGAATCGTTTTTTAAACCTAGTGAATATGGTTATTTAATTATATTTTGATTGTTTTTTCTTTTTTACCAGATGAGTATTAAATTTCTTGCTAACGGATTACAATCTCTTTAAGGATATCCAAGTATCTTTTACAGTTTTGTACAGACCATATTATACATTCAACCATTTTCAATCATCAAATTTGTCAATTAACTTGCGTGTGAAAATTTTGGAAAACATCATGAATATTCAGCGTCATTCCAGTAACATTTTGCAAGAAATTATTATTTTTTTAAACATTAGTTGTTTGTAAACAAATGATTGAAATTGTTTAAACTTTCGGGAACTTTATTTGTTCAGACATGAAATCGATTTCTGGTAAAATTCTGAATATGAATAAATATGTTGCGATTCCGAGCAAATGATTTTTATAGTGGAAGATTGATTGTTTGTAATTTATTTATAGAAAATGCTCGTAATTTTCAAAAATTGCAATTTTTTAATGATTTCATCAATCTTCTTCCGAAAATAAACTTTCTAATTTTTTTTTAAACGTTTTTTTTAAAATGTTTTCTAACGATTCAATATCGAGATCCACATTCAATAATTATTTTCATGATTTTTGTTTTTTTGAACATTCGTTGTTTATAGAGAAATAATTGAAATTATTTAAATTTTCGAAAACCTAATTTTTTTAGGCACGAAATCGATTTCTGGTAAAATTCTGAATATGAATAAATTTGTTTCGATCCCGAACAAATTATTTTTATGGTGGAAAATTGATTGTTTATAAATTATTTATGGAAAATGCTCGTAATTTACAAAAAAATGAAATTTTTAAATTATTTCATCAATCTTCTTCCAAAAAATGAATTTATCATTTTTTTCAGATTCTTAAAATGTTTTGTAACGATTCAATATTGAGACTCAAATGAAAGTTCTAATGTTCGACTACAAAAGTAGAAAAACATTGCACTGAACAACAAATAGCCAAAGTACTTGGATATCCTTAACAAAGTTTTATTTTTCATTCAACTAATTTACTTCATTTTAAAATTGTTTATTAATTTTCTTGATCCATTACTTTCTCCAAGATTGAACGCACATGCTTTCGCTCACTGAGTCTTTCCATTTCGGTTTTTCTGGTTTTTCGATTTTCAATTTTGACGATGATGAGGAAATATCACTATTGTTATTATTCATTCGTTGATATTGATTAACAATGAACACCAATTTAAGATCGCAGGCGAACTTTAATGGATTGCAAATATGAGATTTGAGGATGTCATGAGTGAAGAGAAAAGTTACAATATTCAACTTACGTTGAAACCATCAGCAATTTTTATGACGTACTGAAAGTTATTTTGTTGATAGAAGGAAATGAAGTGTTTTGTTGAACCCGTGAACATTCACGTGAATGTTCAGTGCTTCCCCATGGCATCCTCATGCAATGGATGAACATGACGCAAATTAGAATGCGTGCCACGTCCACCGTGAAACCCCCATAACTTCAATGTGAATAACGAACTTGAAAAACCCAATCAACTGCTAAACCCCGAATGTCGGTATGAATGGAAAAATAACAGAACCAACGACACCATGTACGAATAAAAATATTTCTGCTTACTCAATGATTTTTGTAATAAACCTATAATTCCAAAGAAATACATAATTTTTCTTCTGTCTCTTGCATCCACTCGGCAAACAGATCCTACGTTAAATGAAAGATCTTAACTAAAATATAACGCATTCCACACGCAAGTAGGTGAAAAGCTGTTTACACTTTCTTTATTTCAATAGAAAAAACTTGATCGTGCGATGATGAAGTTCCTCGTCCAGTCCGATGAAATGAAGCTCCAGAACACTCATCCCTCCTTCCCCAAGAATACGACAATATTAAGAAGATTGATCCAACGATCAATCAATTGAAGAACTATTCCACTTATTGAGTTTTGAGTTGAGGCTTTCGCAGCCAACATTATTATTCATTGTTATAGCTTCCGGATGGATGCCGCGTCTAGATTCAGCTTTTCGCCGACGTTTCACAAACATGTCCCCGTTGTAAGGAAGTCCTTATACCCCCCCGACCCCTGGAGGGGGGTAACCCAGCCAATCAAGATGTTTTTAATTGATCAACTGGTCAATTAAAAAAAAATCCACTCATTTCATAATCTCAAAAAAATCAAGAGGGTAAATGCAACTTCAATGCGAATAACGAACTAGGAAAACCCCATCAATTAAAAAAATAACAGAACCAACGACACCATGTACGAATAAAAATATTTCTGCTTACTCAATGATTTTTGTAATAAACCTATAATTCCAAAGAAATACATAATTTTTCTTCTGTCTCTTGCATCCACTCGGCAAACAGATCCTACGTTAAATGAAAGATCTTAACTAAAATATAACGCATTCCACACGCAAGTAGGTGAAAAGCTGTTTACACTTTCTTTATTTCAATAGAAAAAACTTGATCGTGCGATGATGAAGTTCCTCCACCGCATCGTCCCCCATTTCTCCCCGCTCCAGTCCGATGAAATAAAGTCCCAGAACACTCAATTCCTCCAACAATCATCCCACTGAAGGTCTATTCCACTCATCTCTCAATCTCCAAAAAAAAAAAATTAATAAAAACGGCAAATGTGTCGTGACATTCTGGTAGAGCGGCTTATGAACATTACAAACATATCACAAAATCCTGAACAAATTGCATTTCGCGATGACCGTATACGTTTCACAAAAAGAAAAAGATTTTACTCAGTCGTCACAGGTATGATGAAAGAAAAAATATCAATTTGTTAAATTTCCCTATTTACATGAGAAAGTAGACAATTACTTTAGCTAGCTGTGTCATCAACTGAAAGAAAAATTTCATCAATCTTAGACACGCTCTGGCTCTTACAAAAATCATGTGCGATTCCCAAAAAGAAAAAAAATCTGAATTTAATGAACAAATTTACCTCACACAGTTCTTTGAAGAATAATCATAATATAAGTGGGAGGCATTCTTGCTGTTTTTCTTCGTTTTATCGGAGTACATAAATAGAATATAACCGCTATTACAATTCATTAATGTTAGTGTCATCGTATTACAATAATATAATATAACATATCAATAGTATAATTATAATAATAATAATAATGATAATAATAATAATACATTTAGCCTACTTGGTATCTTGAAGATCGATAGGGCGATCCAGATAGTCTATTCACGTTGAAAAATTTATTTATTTTAAATCATCAATTTTATTCAATTTTTCACTGTAATGTTGGTATTACGTTTTAAAATATCCATGGATAGTCATTTTTAGGGAAGATAAATCATACTTTATCTAGTAAAAAAACACAGAGTCGTACTCGATGAAAAATAATGCCATTTCATCAGACCCAAGGGATAAATTGACAATTCACGTAAATGAAGAAATAATAAGACATAAATGAAAATTAATAAAAAGACTGAGAGCCAGACTGGAGGTGTCCCACGTTAAATTCTCAAAATAACTAGAGAATTCTTCATCTCGATTGCAAATAATTGGAAAACACATGTGGTATTTAATAGAAAAAAAAAATTCCATCATTTTTTTGGTTTATCCATCTTTTCACTGCTATATTTTCGAGGATGAAGCATCGTTTAATCGCCATCGTTATTAAAAAGATACAATTATTATAGTCTTTGCAAAAAAATTGCTACAATGCACACAGGCGCTTTTTTTTTCTTGTTTTTGTTTAAAGTATCAGGCAGATGTGTATTTTTTTTTACTTCACACAGACAAGCAATTTAAACACTCATACAATTGTAACATACACGCGCTCTCGATGGATCCGAATATATATATGTATTTAGGTAGGAATATATAAATACGTATATATATTTAGTTAAGCGAAGGGAACGATTCACCACGGATCACGGTATTGGCTGGTGCACTTAATCTGTATGAAATTCAGTTGTCGGATTTATTTTCTCTTTTTTCATTCTTTAATATCCGTTATTGGACGCGTTTTACATGTTTCTAGTTGTTGATCGTTTTTTTTTTCATTTATGTAAAGTAATTAAAGATAAGATATAAAGTATGTTATAGGTTTTCTTGATTTTTTTCTTATGCATCGGGGGCCTCCGGCATTACGACTAGCTTTCCGTAGATTATTTTCATTATTATTATTATTATTCTCTTCATTTTTTTTTTGAATAGCTAGTACCGCAATTCCATGATTTTATGTTTGTTTATTCACCCGGTCGGCGTCGGGCCCATTCCGCATAATAAACTCAGAGCAACCTACATCTGCCCTTTTTCTTCTTTTTTACCTGCAATGAGAATTTTCATGTGTGAGTATTATATTATTTTTTTTAATGGAATTATCTGGAGATTGATTTGCAAGGAAGGGATACAGTTCAGTTAATTTTTTACATTTTATTTGAAATTTCATTTCAGGTCATGTGTGAGTATTCATGTTATTATTGTGTATTTATGAAATTATTTGGAGAGTTTGATTTGCAAGGAAGCGATACAGCTCAGCTAATTTTTTATATTTTATTGGGAATTTCATGGAGCTTTCTGTGAAAAATTCTATTGGAATTGGATTGAGAATTTTGTTGAGATTATGTTTTTTTAACTGATTTCAAGGTGCAATTGGTATTTGAAAGAAAAAGATGAAAACGAATTGTTTATGAATCCGTATTAATTATTCTGCTGTGATTTTTCAAGTTTTTGCTTTGTTTTTTTTTAATCAATTTTGTTGGAAGGAGCGAAAGAAAATTACAGCGATAAAAACTTGGACTAATTTATACTCAGCAATCTTTAATTGAAAAATGTCAAGATAATAATTCATGTAGAACAATAAAAATATGTTGAATTTCTTGTATTGAATACCCATTAAAAAATCATGGAAAAGTTGAACGATTTTTTATAAGAATCAACGGAAAAAACCAATTGAATTTGATAAAACTCCAACAGAGTTTCTCAGAGAAAGCGTCAAGTTTTTTTTGTAAAATATTTTCACACGTGGGAATTCAGTGAAGAAATGTCGAAAGGCTTTTTTTTCTTTAAAAATCTCCTGAGATAAGCAAAAAGTCTATTGACATCTCCTAATATCACTTATTCTTAAGATAAAAACTCTGTCAACAAATTCGAATGATGAAAATTTAGGTACTCGAAATTAAGGCTCCAAATTAAGGTTCACAAGGCTCACGAGGATGATAATGAGGGTCAGATCAAGTGTCCAAATAAGGGTTACATGGATCGGATTAAGGATTACAAAAATAAGATTAAGGGTCATGAGGGTCAGAAACTAAGGGTCTCTAGATATCTCTGTATATTATAAAAATCCAAATGGACTTTTAGTCATGAAAATTTGGTACCCGAAATTAAGACTCCAAATTAAGGTTCACAAGGGTCATGAGGGCCAGAATAAGGGTCATAAGGGTCACAAAGGTAACGGTCATGAGAGTCATAAGGGTTAGATTAAGGACCCAAATAAGGGTTACATGGATCGGATTAAGGATTACAAAAATCAGATTAAGGGTCATGAGGGTCAGAAACTAAGGGTCAAAATAAGGGTCTCCATAAATAGCTCTGTATATTATAAAAATCCAAATGGACTTTTAGTGATGAAAATTTGGTACTCGAAATTAAGACTCAAAAATTAAGGGTCAAAATAAGGGTCACAAGGGTCAGAATAAGGATCATAGGGGTCATTGTTGATTTACCTGGAGTGCTGCTCTGGTCGCTGTTTCGAATACTTCCCGTACACCCTCCTTGCTCTTGGCAGAGCACTCGAGGTAAGCGAAGGCATTAATTTTTTCAGCCATGGCTCTACCCTCCTCGGGTTTAACTGGCTCTTGCTTCATTTTACCAAGCTCCTTGATGGTGCCTGGGTCATTGCGCAAATCCTTTTTGTTTCCAACGAGAATAATTGGTACATTTGGACAGAAGTGTTTCACCTCGGGTGTCCATTTCTCGGGAATGTTCTCTAATGAATCCGGACTGTCAATCGAAAAACACATGAGAATGACATCGGTGTCCGGGTAAGATAGTGGACGCAGTCTGTCGTAGTCTTCTTGTCCTGCTGTATCCCAGAGGGCCAACTCAACCTGTCAAAATTATGGCAATTTGTGAGATTCGTGTAACAGGAGTTTTTAATTACTGAGGATGTCCAGAGACCTTTTACAGTTTGCCCTTCCCATTGGAGTTTTTTTACAACTTCTAACAGGCACGAAAAAAATTTCACAGAAAAACCTAACCAATTCGATAGAAAATTGTATTGAACTTCTATTCATTTTTGGACGATTCTATTGAAGCATTTCGCAGCTTTACTGCGCATGTTTTCAATTGAAAATGTCTAATGGAAACCATTTTACAGAAAAAAATGAGCAGAATGTCATCTTTCCACAACTGAGAACAAGTTTTCTTTGGGCCAACATAATCGTTAGTTGAAAATTATCACAGAAATAATAGCTCGGTTCGAATTTGCTGGTGCATGTGCCGCCCACCTAAGGGAAATGAGTCGTTTTTTCCACTAGCAAATATTGTGTTTTTTTTTACATCCATGCAAATTAAAAAAATTTTTTTTTAAAGAAAATTGAGAAAATTGAAAATTTCTGTTGAAATTACTTGTTGCTGTCAAATATTTGCATAATAAAAAAAGAAATTTTTTCTTTTCGTATTACCCGCTGGGCGGTACAGGCACTAGCTTCCCTAACACAAGAAATCCAAACTTGAATTTAAGGGTGCCAAGTGAATTTGAAAAAAGATTCAAAAAAATTTTTTTCTTTCCCTCCATCATTGGAGAAATATGTATTCATCCATCCGACGAAATTTCAAACCCGCAACCGGAACTGGACATTGAGAAAATAAATGCGGAAAATCCTCTTTTTCGCGTGACGAACCTCGAGAAAACATGGGGTCAAATGGGTACGGCGGGTTGAAATATCTCTTTTATTCACCCCGGTACCCCATTGTTTTTTGTCGCCATCACATTGAACACATCATTCCCCCTGTCTTCAAATTTTTTCAAATTTTTCTTGAGTTCCAAGGGGGTTGAAACGTTCAATTTAATCAAAACTCCATAAGAGGCCGTGTATAAGACTGATTTTGTTTATTTAATTTCTCGATATCCATAAGTTCTAAAATGTTTAAATTGTCACCGATGTTCACCATCTGTCTAATACTATTAATTAAAAAAATTATAACTTTGTTGGTGAATGTCAATTTTCAAGGTCATCGCCAAATTCACTTGGCACCCTTAAATTATTACAAAGCTTCCATGCGGAAGCGAAAGCACGGAAAATACTTGGATATCCTTGATATGATTCCTGACGTACCTGTTTGCTGTCCACTTCAATGTCAGCGACATAATTCTCAAACACAGTGGGAACGTAGACTTCGGGGAATTGATCTTTGCTGAATACTATGAGCAGGCAGGTTTTACCACAGGCACCATCGCCCACGATTACTAGTTTCTTTCTGATAGCCGCCATGAATCCTGGAATAACGATCAATCCTTTGATTGTCAATTTGTTCTTTGGTAATTATTTCTAATGGCAAATTCAATGAATAGGGTGAATCATCCTGCATTCCAGTGGATACGAGTCGTCCGATACCGGTGATTGATCGAATGACATTGGATAGCTCGAAATAACTCATCGAACAGTTCCAACGAGTCTCGTCAAATTGAAAACCAAACGAAAGTTATCACTAATTTCATCATTTCTTCAAGAATAAATAATAAGGATAACGAAAGTTATCGCTAACTTCATCATTTCTTTAAAGTAGCTCTATCCTTACGGTAAATTCAAAGATTATTGAAAACTGCAAAAAAATTGCAGAAAACTCCATGAGATTTGGACTTCTAATTTTTTGCTCAATTTAATTATCGTTTTGGTTTTCCAAAGAAGTGTTTAAAAATCAGGATTTAACCCAGTGTCTTATGTGAAAATCAACATTTCCATTGTAATCAAAGATTAAAATCTGATTTTTTTTAGATTATATGTGAAAAAATCGAGTATTTATTTGACACCTCATAAAAAATAATCCACGGTTTTGCAAGCAAGTTTTATTATTTATTTATAAGAAGGAAATGTTCGAAAAAATATCAATATTTTGCGAAATTTAATTTAGATAATACTGACTGGGTATGAATTTTTTCAAATTTTTTCCATGCTATTTAGTTGAAAAATTTAAAAACTGAAAATATCCAAAAGTACAGCGTAACCCGGCCGAAGGGTAGAGCTACTTTAAGGATGTTCTACACCCTTTCTGCCAAAATTCACGTTTTTTTAATTTTTCTGGCAAACTTATGATGGAATTGACGTGAAAAAATATAACGTTTTTGCGTTTTGTCATTATTTAATGACTGACGAAATTTTAAGGTGGTGCGAACATTTTCCTGCGTTTTCTCTAAACTTTTAAAAAGAATCACAAAACTGTAGAAAAAACGCATGAAAATTATCGCACCACTACGCAACTTCGTGAGCCATTAAAGAATGACAAACCACAAAATCGTTATATTTTTTCACGTCACTCCCATCGATAATTTGCCAGAAAAATGAAAACAACGTCAATTTTGGCTAAAAGGGTGTCGAACATCCTTAAGGATGAATAACAAGGATAACGAAAGTTATCACTAACTTCATCATTTCTTTAAGAATAAATAACAAGTTGGATCACTGGAAAGGTGCAAACACTCCCAGTTATTCACCCTATTATCGAATTTTTACAGCAGTTAAATACGTGCTATCGCGACATTTTTAATTCGTCTTCATCTAAGTGATTTGGCAAACCTCAACACCGACACGACATTTTCTTGACAAAATGATCTATTACACTGTTAAACATGTCGGACTGAAATTCCCTGTACACTTCTTGGCAACTCGGTTAAATTTTTTTAAAATCAAAAAAAGAAAAAACTTCTTGAAAACTCATCAAGTGACAGTTCCATTGAAATTTCGAGGAATTTCCGCAACGAAATTTCACAATTTGATTAAAAAAACAATGGGAAATGTGAATTTCAGTTCGATTATTCCATAAAAATTAACAAAAATCAGAAAAGTGCTGGACAATATTTTGCTGAATTTTCAATTTATAGAAAATTCTGTTTTTGGCACTGAATATTCATGATTTTTGGAAATTTTTCTCAAGCAATTTAATTGACAAATTTCATGATTGAAAATGGTTGAATCTATAGTGTGGTCTGTACCAAATTATCAAAGATACTTGGACATCTTTCATTTGGAAATTCAAGAATATATTTACCAGAATTTTCCTGATTTCCACTAATTTGGAATAATTGAACTGATATTTTTAGTTCTTATAAATTTTCACATGAAATTCAGAATTTTCACACTGATAGACAGAATTAGTTATTGTTAACAAATGGATTTGGTTGAGGACTAGGGTCTATTTCAGTAGCGAAGCGGTAAACCGGTTTAAGTCGATTCTGACTATTGGCCAGTTTTTGACGAATATCTCGGAATCTAAAAGAGATGGAGAAATTTCTGTCATAACCGTTTTTGTAGAGCCAATTGAGGCTTATAAAAAAGGTTATGAGAAAAATTTTGCTATCTCTCTTAGATTCCGAGATATTAATCAAAAACTGGCCAAAAGTCAAAATCGACTTAACCCGGTTTACCGCTTCGCTACTGATTTGGTCTCACCAAATGTTCATTCGTTAACTATTAACGAATATTTATTTGGTTATATTCAACTCTACCATTCGTTAATAGTTAACGAATCTCGTTTGGAATAAATGGATCATTCTATCAGTGCAATGACGAAATTCTTTGGAATTTCACTGAAATTAAAATATGATAAAAATTTCAAAAAAGTATATCGGAAATTTCAACCACAAATTTTTAACAATGCATAGGAATCGTAATCGTCACATTCTCTAAATTCTCAAATTGAACAAATTCTTTTTTGCAGCGATTTTTTTGGCCCAAGCAAGACTTGTTTGAGACCTTGTTCGCTTGCTCTCAGCGTACAATACCTCATTTCGTCGAGAAAACGCTGTGTCGGTGTTAAATAATGCCAGTGATTATTATCTCTCTCTGAGAGTTTTACCATGCCAATGCCATCGTGAATGCTTGGGGCATCCCCTCTAAATTTCCCAAATTCATTTTTACAAAATTTTATATCTATCGAGACGCTGGGGCAAAACAGATGTTATTTCATCATTTTAACATCATTAGCGCATTTGAAGAGATTGAGTACCATTTTGCCCCAGTCTCATCTAAAAACCCCTAATAATCTTAAAGAATCATATCTCAGTAGTTTTACAGTCGAAAGTCTATAAAACAGCTATCTCACTCATCTAAAAACTTTAAATCAACGGTATTCTATTATTTCATCTCATTCGTCTGGCGAGAATAATTTCAATTACAAATTGGGTACTTGGAGGGGTTTAATGTGGAGAAAGCACCCAGGAACTAGTACAAGATAGCAGGGGATTCATCGGGGAAGATCGATCAGGTGTTAGTGGGTGAGTGACTATCTATTTTACATGTTACATGTGCCCGCTGTTATGTACAATTTCTTCAAAAATTTTTCTAACCCTCGATACATGTGATGAATTCAGCGGAATGGAGGAATGAGCACTATGGTGATCTAGACTATAGACAAGTGAGGATTACTTATGCCCTACGTTCTACATTTTTTACCCTCAATTAATGATTCAGTAGTGAAGTGGTGAATCTTAACAATCAATTAACATTTTTGTTTAAGGCCCGGTTGTACTTTCGTATCTTTCGAATGTTATCTGGATTTTTTTCATCTTTCGTAATCCAAAATTGTCAATTGAGTGGTACATCATGTAGAAATTCCCAAAAATTATGAAAGGATGAAAAAAAATAGAAAAAATTCTCAACTTTTTCAAAGAGCGTTTTTAATTCAGATTCAGAATGAGTTGAAAAAAGTGGAAATTACAAATATCTGATTCGTTGTGGCAAATTATCTATTAGCTGTCATTTTCCATGGTGGATAACGAAACACTAACTCCTCATGGGAAGTGACAGCTACGTATCTCAATTTTCAAAAAATTCTCCAAAATATTACAACTTTTTTCAAAGAGCCTTTTCCGTAATAAATGTCTCTGTGCAGTGTGGGACAAGATGTACAAAATCAGTCTTCCCCTTGCATGATATTGGGTGACAGGCCGCCATTTGTCACCTTAAATCAGATACATTTTTTAATTTCTTGTTATTCAACTTATTCTGTATATAAATTAAAAATGCTCTTTGAAAAAATTAAGAATTTCTTCTACTTTTTTTTGATTATTCATTCATAATTTTTCAAAACTTCTGCATGATGCAGGACTCAATTTACAATTTCAGATGACGAAAGATGAAAAAAAAACATCGAGATAACGTTCGAAAGATAGTACACCCGGGCCTTAATTGGTGGAACAAAATGAACACTTTAAAATTTTGTTTTTCAATGTTTACAACTCAGAAAAGAAACAATAAATCAACCTAAGGGTAATCTATGGGGCGCGGGGTCAAACCCGACCTCAGGTGTTTGCTCACCTTTTCTCCAATTTCAATATCATAAATTTCTACTCAAAATTAACAATCAAATAACCAATGAATCAGTTGAGGGAAAATTTAGAAATTAAGGAAAAATTGTACTTTCCTGGAAAAAATTTTTGGTTATAAAAAAATATTCCATTTAATTCACTTTACCCGTTAATTTAATTTTTCATTCATTTCGTTTAGTTCAATGAGTCAATGTTACGTTAACATTTTATAAAAACTCAATAGTGTTCAAGAATAAGTGATTTCAGGAGAATGTCAGACGATTTCATTTCTGGAGTATTAAATTTCCAGCAAAAAACACCTCGCGACATTTCCTGCTGTTCAACAAAATATGAATAATTTACTTGCTTTGTTCCGTTGATTGTCTATTTATCTTGAGAATACGTCAATAGCAAAACGATGAAACGCTTCAAACTTAGCCCTTGGCGGAGTTTTCAAGGAATATCTCCGAATCTAAGGTGGATAACTAAATTTTTATTATAACCTTTTTTCTAGAGCGAGTTGAGAGCTACAAAAAAGGTCATGACAAAAACTTTGCTATCTCTCTTAAATTTCGCGATATTCATTGAAAACTTGCCAATAGTGAAAATCTACTTGAATCGTGTTACCATTTCGCTAAGTGGTTTTTGGGGAAAATTTCAAGATAATTTTTTTCATTGAGATTATCCCATTAGAAGATAATTCAATACTCAGAAAAACATCGAAAATTGACTAGTCATGTTCTACCACTCAACTACTGAATTTAAGGTTCGATGCATCATTTTTCAAACGTTATCTGCCCTAGTTTTTCAGTTTTTGGGAAATGATAAATTAGGGCTTTTAGATAAATTAGATGTTTTTTTTTGGAAAGTCCTCCGATGAACTACTGACAGGAAAAATGATAAATTTGTATAGAATATGGTTGTTCTATGGAAACAGGAATGGCCATAAATATTTCGTCATTCTAAGAATTCGGAAATTATAGTTTAGCTATTTAAAAACCATAATTCATCATGAGCATTAAAGAAATGAAATAACTGAGGCAGTCTTTCTCCAATTTTTCTTTACACTTTGCATAATGAATTATTATTTTTCAGAGTAAGATTATCACTTCAATTTTTTGGAAATGAGAATTTTTTTTGCACGGAATTTCTCTAAAAATGAAAAATACGAAAGGTTTTTTTATGTAAATAAATAATGAAAAAAAAAACATTTGTATTTTCCCATTTATTTAGCAGAATAAACCACACGGTTTGATTGCTTTAAATCAAAATAAATGAATAACTAGAAAATAATGAAAAATTAATGAATCGATTTTGATTCTTAAAAAAAAACAACAACAACAAAGCAAAAAAACAAAAATATGTCTCGAATATTTTCTCATCTCATCATTTTTCCTGATAAAAGAAAAATTCCTGATAAAAGATAGTAAATTACAGGTTTAGAGTAAGTAACTTACAACAAGACAATGTAACAAAATGTATCAAAACTATACGACAGTGTAAATAACAACCCAATATCTGGGCGACATCACTATAAAGAAATAAAAAAATAAAAAAAAATAACGAAAAAAAAACATTTGTATTTTTCCATTTATTTAGCAGAATAAACCACACGGTTTGAATGTTTTAAATCAAAATAAATGAATAACTAGAAAATAATGAAAAATTAATGAGTCGATTTCGATTCTTAAAAAAAAAGCAACAACAACAACAAAACAAAAATATGTCTCGAATATTTTCTCATCTCATCATTTTTCCCGATAAAAAAAATTCTCAAAATGCCGCAATCAACTATTCAATTGTCCAGAGAATCGAAATAAATGGAGATAACGTTCAAAAGATAATACACCTGAGCCTCACAATAAACTCACAGCGGCCTGTCACATCTCAACGGGTGCAAATGCGTTTTTACTAAATTTCAACGATAAAAATTACGAATGCAAACTCGACTCCAAAGTCCCATTAACGAGTTCTGTTAATAAGCAATTATATTGCTGTGCAATGCTTCAAGAATCCTACGAGGTTGGAGGTGTTTCAATAATTCTTTGTCTCTTTTTCTTCTTAAAAAAAAGAAATGTGGACTTGGGTCGTACCTGATCCAGGGTGACCCGTATCGTCTGAACCGATGCCTCGGCCCACAATGCATCCCATCTTTTTAGTCTTTCTTTCTCAGCATTCTCTGTTTTAAGTGGACATTTTTGTGGATGGTTAAAATATATTTCGGATTGAAAGAGGCTGGACAGATGGTTATTCTAATAGCACAAATAGATTATATTTAATGCGAGCTTTTGGCTTTTATCTTTATCGATTTATTGAGTTAATTATCGATTCGGTTGATTAATTCAGTGGCGAAGCAGTGAGTAATAACAGAGCAAATCGAGTTTAGTGTTAAATGTAGAATCACCTCGATAACGAGGGATTTTAGGGGAAGGGCTCGACGGGCATTTCGCCCTAAAGTCTTCATGTTAACCCTAGTCTGGTCACCTGACGGGAAAATGCGACTTTAGTCACCTTCGCGGGAGAGTGCCGCCGTGTTATTTAGGCTCCAGCGTTGCCGAATCCACTCTACACTTCCCGGGCGCGTTTAGCGAGTTCCCAGCAACGTCGCGCAACAGGCAGTTTCATTTAACACGGGAAAAAATTGTTCACCTGTTGGAAATATTTTTTTTCTCCCAGAATTAAGGATACAATATTGAAAAAAAAAATACTAGAATTTTCCAGATACTTCAATTGACGAATTCAATTTTTCTCGAAATTTTTCCGGTCAACCAGTCGATGGCAAGGTGAATACAACGACGTGTTGCGGCAATTCCCTCGCATGGTGACCAGTCTAGGGTTAAATTCAACATTCGACAAAAAAAAGTGTGAACGTGGGGTTCTTCATCTTGCTGAAGATAAATAAATCCACGATTAGATTAGATTGTCTTGATAACAATTTCAGGCAAATTTCGAGATATTTTTCGGTATAAGGAAACACTAGTTCTCAAGGTGAATCGAGAGTAACATAAGTGGCTAATTTTAGGCTTGAATGAATTGTTTTAATGAGTGGCCTTTAATGAAAATGTGAAGAGAATTTTTTTGTTGAAAATTCAAATTATCTGAGAAAAGGGCTGTCGTTATTTTCTTTCTGACGCCACTCAGTCTCGAGGAGAAACCAATTTTTGACGTCTGATTCAATGTTCAATTATCTTGATAATGAGTGAAAAAATTTCAGGAGAGACTTCCTGTTGGGAATATTTTTCAGGTACAAAGAAGGTCCTGACACAGAAGTCATTTTCTCTCAATTATGTTCATTAGATGATAAAATGATTTGTATAATGAGTGGGTTCAATCGTAAATGAAATGGTTTTATGAAAAATCGAATCATCTGCAAAAAAGTCTCCTTTTTTCGAAAGCTACTTGGTCTCGGGATGCATACACAATTTTTTAAAATGTTGAAACAGGAAAATCAATTTTTGGGATCTTCTTGATGTTCTATTATCTTGACAATGAGTGATTGTAAGAAAAAACTTGAGAACGCACTTTTTGTTGGGAATTTTTTAAAGATACAAAGAATTTCCCGACACTTTTTTTAGTCTCGAGATGTGTGTACAATTAACAAAAATTAACAAACGGAAAAGGTAATTTTCCCTCATTTTTGTTAATTATATAATAAAATTGTCTCTATAATGAGTAGGTTTAAACGAAAATGAAATTTTTTTTATGGCAATTCGAATCATCTACAAAGAAAGGTTTCCTTTTTTTGAAGCTACTCGATCCCGGGATAAATACACAATTACATGTCCAATTATCTTGATGACGAGTGACTAGAGGAAACAATTTCAGGAGACACTGTTAGGAATTTTTTTCAGATGCAAAGAAATTCCTGACACTTTTTTTAATTCTCCGGATGACTGAATAATTAACAAAAATTTAGAAACAGAAAAAGTCAATTTCCCATGTCATTGTTAATTAGATAATACAATTGTCTCTATAACGAGTGAGTCTAAACGTAAATGTCGAGACATTTTCTTACGAAAATTCTAATCACCCACAAAAAAGTCTCCGTTTTTCAAAAGTTACTCAGTCTCGAGATAAAACCCAATTTGAGAAATGTCGAAATAAGAGTAATCTCTCTCTCTCTTCTACATCTTGTTGAATGTCCAATTATCTCGATAATGAGTAACTGTAAAAGAAAATTAAGAGACATTTTTTATTGGGATTTTTCTCAGCTACAAAGACGGTCCCATGACACCTTTCTATTCTTTTCTCGAAATGAGTAAACAATTAACAAAAGTCTAGCAACAGAAAAAGTTAATTTCCCCCATCTTTGTTAACTAATGTCAAATTGTTTCCATAATGAGTTCAGAGGAAATGTCAAGAGACGCTTTATGCTGGAAATTTTTCCAATTGCAAAGAAAGTCCTATGACGCTTTTTCTTGTTATCGAGGTGAATGAGTAATTTTAAAAAAGTTAGAAACGAAACAAGTCAGTGAAGCTGAAACTAGCAGAATATTCGTCAGCGGAGAATTCAATTTAGGGGATATTTAAGTGTACGAGTCAAATAATCATATGTACAAATGTTTTTAAGTGCGAAAGAGTTTGTACATTATGTAAACACATTTGAACACTCGTACATTCGCTTAAGACAAATCTTCTGCTGTCGAATCTTTCGCTAGTTTCAGCTTCAAAACAAGTCAATTTTTCACATCTGTACTAATTAAATATCAAATTGTCTCTGACGAATTGTTTCAAACGACAATGTCAAGAACATTTACCCCGAAAGCCACTTATTCTCAAGATAAATGTACAATCAACAAAAAACAAAATTGATTTATCCCAACTCACCCCTCCACAACTGAATTAAACTAATCAACTCACGTGATTAATCTTCAATGTTATTAAGTTCGTTAGAACCCCTCACATTTTCATATTTATGCCCTCTCCTGGATTCGACATTCATGCTCCAATAATAGATTCTACCAAGCATGCAACAATAAATGAACATTCAAACATTCCTCTCCCGATAGTCTCGTCGCAAGTAAGAACCAAACAAGTATGAATGACTTATGTTGTACAAGGGTATCTCCTTTCGGAAAAAAAAGTACAATAAAGATAAGATACAGCGAGCCCGATAAAATGTGCCAAAGGTCTACACAACACTGCACTCATGGATCTCCGCAAAACTCAAACAAAACTCGAAAAAAAAAAAAAACTTCAAGCGAATTTCTCGAAAACACACTGTTAAAAATTTGCGGATGAAATTTCAGGTGCCCTTTGGAAATTTTTATTAAGTGACAGTTCTACTGGAATTTTTAGGAATTCAATCGTTAAGAATTTGCAATCTGATGAAAAAGCGGTGGAAACTGTAAATTTTAGTTGAATTTAATCCACGAAAATTGATACAAATGAAAAAAAATTCAGGTAAATACATTCTAAAAATTTTGGGTGAATTGAAAATTCAAGTAAGTTGAAGAAACGTCGCTGTGACTGTCGATAATTTTTGGCTGAAAGTTCAGGTATCACTTGGAATTTTTATGAAGTGATAGTTCTACTTGAATTTTTAGGAATTCAATCGCTAAGAATTCGCAATCTGATGAAAAAGCAGTGGAAACTGTAAATTTTAGTTCATTTAATCCATGAAAATTGACACAAATGACAGAAAAATTCAGGTAAATACATTCTAAAATTTTCGATGAATTGAAACTTCAAGTAAGTTGAAGAAAGGTCGCTATGATTGTCGGTAATTTTTGGCTGAAGGTTCAGGTATCACTTGGAATTTTTATGAAGTGATAGTTCTACTGGAATTTTTAGGAATTTAATCGCTGAGAATTTGCAATCTGATGAAAAAGCAGTGGAAACTGTAATTTTAGTTCATTTAATCCACGAAAATTGATACAAATGACAGAATAATTCAGGTAAATACATTCTAAAATTTTGGATGAATTGAAAATTCAAGTAAGTTGAAGAAACGTCGCTATGATTGTCGGTAATTTTTGACTGAAGGTTCAGGTATCACTTGGAATTTTTATGAAGTGATAGTTCTACTGGAATTTTTAGGAATCTAATCGCTGAGAATTTGCAATCTGACGAAAAAGCAGTGAAAACTGTAAATTTTAGTTCATTTAATCCACGAAAATTGATACAAATGACAGAATAATTCAGGTAAATATATTCTAAAATTTTGGATGAATTGAAAATTCAAGTAAGTTGAAGAAACGTCGCTCTGACTGTCGGTAATTTTTGGCTGCAAGTTCAGGTATCACTTGGAATTTTTATGAAGTGATAGTTCTACTGGAATTTTTAGGACTTTAATCGCTGAGAATTGGCAATCTGATAAAAAAGCAGTGGAAACTGTAAATTTCAGGTGATTTAATCCATGAAAATTGACACAAATAGCAGAAAAATTCAGGTAAATACATTCTGAAATTATTGATGAATTGAAAATTCAAGTAAGTTGAAGAAAAGTCGTTCTCACTGTCGGAAATTTTTGGCTAAAAGTTCAGGTATCACTTGGAAATTTTTATGAAGTGATAGTTCTGCCGAAATTTTCAGGGATTAAGGCATCGAGAATTCGCAATCTGATGAAAAATGAATGGAAACTGTAAATTTCAGTTCAGGGTAATTTGCTATTGAATATTCATATTTTTTGATTAAAAATCTAAGTTGGAGAATTCTCTTTCTGTTGCTCAAAGATTTACAATGCGATTGCATTTCCAATGTAATTCGAAATTTCATGATTTTGTCAACCCTAAATCGAATTCAATTGTTCGAATTTGACTCGATTCGAATTTTAATTTTTCTCTAAACATATGACTTTGTCAGAGAAATAAATGAAAACTGCATTTTTCAATTATTTCAGGGAACTGAATATAAATCAGTAATATTCTGGTGAAATTCAGAATTGAGGTGAATTCTGGTTATCCTGAAACTATGGACTGATTGAAAACTCAAGGTAATTTCTGTTCTTTCTCAATAAAGAAGATAATAATAATAATAATTTAAGGCTGATTATTAACATTTTTATTAACAATTCAAATAAGTTCAGAAAATCTCACTCTCACTGTTGGAAAATTTTGGCTGAAAGTTCAGGTACATTTTTTGGAAATTTTGTTCAAGTGACAGTTCCACTGAAATTTGCAGAAATTAAATAATTGAAGATTGACAATTTAAAAGAAAAAATTAATGAAAATAACTTTCAATTCAATTCAGTAGCGAAGTGGTAAAAGGAGATAAGTCAATTTTGACTATTGACCAGGTTTCAATGAATATCTCGGAGTCCAAGGGAGATAGCAACATTTTTATTATAACCTTTTTTGTAGAGCCGACTGAGAGCTACAATAAATGTGATCAGGAAAATTTCGCTATCTCTCTTAGATTGGGGAATATTCCTCAAAAACGCAACTGGGAGATAAGTCGACATAAACCGTTTTGCCACTTCGCTACTGAATTGTTACATGAAAATTCATAAAAATGGTGAAGATATCTTGAAATGTGTGATTAATTAAAATTCAGGGTAATTTAGTACTGAATAGTGAAGTTTCGATTGAAAATCCAACTAATTTGGGGAATTCTTTTTCTGTATCGCAGAGATTTGGGATTCAATTGCATTTCCAGTGAAATTCGAAAATTCTGCAAAAATTTGGTAAAATCATGAAAATTCATGTGAAAATAAAACGTGTATCATTCGACTCCTAAATAGTCATATTCAATTCCCTTGAATTCACCCTGAACCTTAAGTGCTCATAATCCTCCCTCCCCCCCATATCAATTTCAACGTCCCCCTTAAAAAAATTACTCCCAAATGACCCCTGAAATTTCAGTTATTTTCTGACAGTAAACGTTTTAAATTCACTTCAATTACTTCGTAAAAATTCAGAAAAATCATAAAAAATTGAGGTCAACGTAAAAAATTGATCATTTTGAATCCTAAACATTGATATTGAATTTCTTTGAATTCTCTTCGAACCTTGAATAATCCTTTCATAATGCTCATAATTCTTTCTCACCTAAATCAACCTCAATGTTACTTTTAAAAAATAACTCCCAAATGATCCCTGAAATTTGAATTATTTCCTGCCGGTGAAAGTTTTAAATTCCATCAATTACTCCCTAAAAATTCCGAAAAATCATGAAAAATTTAGACAAAAATGAAAAAATTTTAAATGTCATGAAAAATCGAGGTAAAAATAAAAAATTTAGAAAAATCATGAAAAATTGAGGAGAAAATAAAAAACTCATCCAATTTTTAATCCTAAATATTAACATTCAATTCCCTCGAATTCACCTTGCACCTTAAATTCCCCTAATCCTTTCACCGAATCAACCTCACTGCCCCCTAAAAATAACTCCCAAATGATCCCTGAAATTTCAATTATGTTTTGCCGGTGAAAGTTTCAAATTCCTTCAATTACTCTCTAAAAATTCAGAAAAATCATGAAAAATTGAGGAGAAAATAAAAAACTCATCCAATTTTTAATCCAAAATATTAACATTCAATTCCCTCGAATTCACCATGCACCTTAAATTCCCCTAATCCTTCCCCGAATCAACCCCACTGCCCCCTAGAAATAACTCCCAAATGATCCCTGAAATTTCAATTATGTTTTGCCGGTGAAAGTTTCAAATTCCTTCAATTACTCTCTAAAAATTCAGAAAAATCATGAAAAATTGAGATGAAAATAAAAAATTCAGAAATGTCATGACAAATCGAGGTAAAAATAAAAAAATTCCGAAAAATCATGAAAAATTGAGGAGAAAATAAAAAACCCATACGATTTACACTCCTAAATATTACCATTCAACCCCTCGAATTCACCCTGCACCTAAAATCCCCCCCCCCCTCCAATCAACCTCACTGCCCCCCTAAAAAGCTCGCAAATGACCCCTGAAATTTCAATTTTTCTACCAGCGCGTGATGTCACTTTCCGAGTACCCCCTGAATCAATGATAAAACTCGTCACTTACGTCAGTTATTCCACGAATCTCGAATGTTTATAATCGACCTTTCGTCCACTAAAAAAAAAGCCCCCTCCCGCCGTCGCCGCAAAAACCGGAAAAACCCCTCCTCAAACTCTCCAAACCCCCCAAAAACCCGAAAAAGCGTCAGGAAGACACCGACCGGATAAAAAATCTGCCAACGCCGGAAGTGCACTGGCACTAAGGTGGACGCAAGTGAAAATGGATGAGGAACAACCGAACAAGCGTTCGGCAAGAATGAAATTTGGTAGTTTGCCCCGTCCTCACCACCACCCCATCCCGCTCACTAACAAATTAAACTTACTTGATTGAACTATGCAAAAACCACGACAAAGAGAGGTCGACGTTGAAGCTCGCACTCAAGGGAGGTACAGTGTGGCCAGAGGGATGAAGTGAGGGAAGAGAGAAGGAAAGCCTGGAGGGGGTACTCTCCGAATATCTATCAATTTTTCAGTGAGGACTTAAAAAAATGACAGAATAACCAACGACAACTACTTATCAACGAGCGTATCCCGAGGGAATGCTCCCCCTCCTCAAAGTATCTGAGCCTATTCCAGTGGAATATGTGCAGAGCACGGCACTCCCCGCAGCACACCTCGCAAACTTATCCTCAACTTTGCCTCAAAACGTTACGCATTTATTTTGTCAAAAAAGAAAAAAAAATGAATGGACTGAAATTCTCACACCCCCGTATTATTGCAACTCGTTTAAACCACAAATTCATGAACATTGGTGTTTTACTGTTAATGCACGACACCGACACATCATTCGCGTTGGTCTTTTAACTTTATTTTATTAAGTAAATTGCGTATTTACCTGAAAATCTTATGCGACAGATAGACCAAGAAAATGGCTGCCAATGGCTGCCTTCTGTGGCCACACCTCAATCTGTTGAGTGTGCGGCAGTGTGCAGTGAGGCGTCGGGTGGAGGGGGACCGTTGTGGGGGAAAACGAGGGGGAGAGGTGATTTTTCGGGAGTCGGGGGAGGCGGTTGACCACACTGGCACGACGTTGGCAGACCTGGAGCGTTTTTTCAAATTAAGGATGTTCTACACCCTTTCTGCCAAAATTCACGTTTTTTTAATTTTTCTGGCAAACTTATGATGGAATTGACGTGAAAAAATATAACGTTTTTGCGTTTTGTCATTATTTAATGACTGACGAAATTTTAAGGTGGTGCGAACATTTTCCTGCGTTTTCTCTAAACTTTTAAAAAGAATCACAAAACTGTAGAAAAAACGCATGAAAATTATCGCACCACTACGCAACTTCGTGAGCCATTAAAGAATGACAAACCACAAAATCGTTATATTTTTTCACGTCACTCCCATCGA